CACCAATATTGTGTGTAAGAAGAACTAGAAGCGCCCATCTGGGAGCTTTTTCTTTTGTGCAATACTCTAGTTTTCCTTAGATACTTTTTTTTATTATTTTTTTTATTTTATTTTTTGACACCCTGCTCTCATGATGCCATTGGATTGACAGGCCGTCCAGTTCGGCTATCTCAGACTCTTGACTTAGTGGGTGACTTACTAAATACACAGTATCATAACTAAGATCTCTCCGCATTACTGTGCTACCAAGTTGCTGTGGGCCCTGCGTACTTTGCGCACCTTGCAGAGCTCGCAACCGCCTTTGCAGGAGTGAAGGTTAGAGTATTTGTTAGGTGCCTGCTCTGTATGAACTAGTAAATTGCCCTCATTCTTGATTCACGAGATTCATAAGAGACCAGTTCCATAATCCCTTCTGAATGGCATTGCCAGCGGAACAATCATTGCTTCGGTAGCTCTTTTCATTGCCTGTATTGCAGGTATATGATTCATCCTCGACCGTCACAAGCAGCTCTGCCAGTTGTGGAACATAACTGAAAGAGCAGTAATTCCCACTGTCTGGTATGCACAATCTCGTCCCTCCATATTTAAGGGGAACGCATGAGTCCATGATTCTTGGTACTTAGGTTTCTGACTTCTGGGCGGCTACCATCTCCATCAAAAAAGGTCTGGTATGCCCGAAGAACAAATAAACATGGTTTCTCGCGGTCCATCCTCGATTGTGATCCCCTCAGCAGATCGTTCGTCCTATAATCCAGGCTGCCACCTGCAGCCAATGAATTCCAAGTACCTATATGGTCTCCGCAGCAGACCTGATACCGCAGCATTTCCGCTACTACTTGAGGCTGGCTTCTTAGTCCTTAATCCGGTGAGGTGTTTTGATGCGATGAAGTATCTCGCTTTCGCTAGTTCATAATCATGGAGCATTTTCCAGATATTTAGCACTGCCGACTCTGAGAGGGATTTATTAATCAATAAAAATGCTGACCGTCGTTCATCCAACCAAGAAGAGCCGGCCGGCAGAGAGACTGATTTAACTTTCATTGATATTGTTCGACCTTTCGCCCGTGTTCCAGCGTATAGACAGCGATCTCTTCGAATTCGGACGCGTTGGATTTAGATGAGGGGGGTGTCCGGCTCAGGCGGGTGTCCGGCTCGGTTGGGAATTACATTATAGGATGTGTTGCTGACAAAGTAATCACCTTGTCTTGACCATCTAGTCTGAATCCTGATTCTCTTCATAGAACTTGACAAAGGTTGTCATTGAGAAGATATACAGCTTGCATGACCATTGTCATTTATCACTCCGAAACCAGTGATGCTGGCACCGGTGATGCCCTGCAGCTAAATAACTTCCCCCTTGTTGTCCCAGTACGTAAGACTGTCGACACAGAGAGCTCGCCTAATCGCTTGATGCTGCATCAAATACAGGTGAAGGATAGTTAGTTGTTAATGTAGTACCTCTGACCTTTTGGATGGCAATGGTACCACTCGGGCCTATGTTGATAGCAGACGGCGGACGAGCCGCCTACTTTGGGCGAGCATGTGGGTGCCCGTGGACTGCGTTGGGCACAACCCGGGATATGGTCAGCAATGGGTTCAGCAGCTGCGAAGCATGTGAGACTCGCTGGAATAAGAGGCCACAACGAAAACTTTTGGCGAACATCTTTTGGTGCGCTGTGAAATTCAAATTTTTGATAGAGAAATCGCATACATCAATGTTCCTCTGGGATAACTGCCGGTCCGCGGAGCTGTTTCAGATACAGTATCTTGATAATCAGGGATGGCTGTTGCAGGAGTCTAGCTTTCGTGCATTGGTGGATTTTGTATAGCCTATTGTTACCCACGCCCTTTGCTTACCCTGCTCTGATTATCTAACTCCCTTATCTGCTCCTGGAAACTTGCACCCGGTGTTTTCTAAGTTGATAAAGTTCAAGGATCTGCAAATGCTTAGAGGAAATAAACCAGCCTTCTTACAGAAGGACCGGGCCAAGTGTCGGAAACCTTCCAACGATTCTAAAATCCTCGTGATCGAAAAGAGCAACGGTCTGCAGATCATAAAACTTGGATAAATTGATTTTCGAAATTTGGTTTCTGAAGAACTCTCGCTCTTCCAGTAATTGCTCCGCATATTAATCACACCCGAGTCAAAGTATCTCCAGTTGACGTTTCAAGTTACATTCCGCTGAACGTTAATGTCAGCGAAATGGGTCCTACTGTGAGCCTTCACATTTGCATGGAAACACACCGCATAATTATCTATAAAACCTGGTAATTTATGCAGTCCTTTTCTTCAGGAAAACTCTCAGCTGGGTGGTTTTTTGCACTTTGTCAACTATCCTCAAGTTAAAGGGGTCCTTGCTGTTCAAAATGCTCTTACAATGTTCGTGCATCAGCACTTTCGCAGCCCTGACTGCAGCGTGAGTCCATTTTGGTAATCTTCACACTACTCCAAATCTGAGTCGTATGAGGTCTTCTGTTGGATCTCAGTGTCAACCTTGGTATACTTCATACCAAGCATTGTCTGCAGACTTATACTCTTCATTATCATACTGGTTTACAGCGGCATGTCCTGTCGTCACTAGAGATAAAGATGCAAGTTTGCTAGTGTGCATGGATTAATTTGCGAGTGATAGCACAGCTGCGCTACAGTTGGCGCTCATGTGGTATATCACTATAAGTAAGGATTATGCTACCAAGGCGACACAGATCTTGGACGCTTTGGGGAAAACCTTGAAAGTGGTAAATAGTATAACACCCACTTAGGCGCACTTGATGTTAATGAAAGGTTAGGGAATAATGTTTTGCAGGCACCGACGGTCAACTCGCGGCTGCCCTCTCTGGAAGCCAGCTTGTTAACGCAGCAGAAATTATCCGCTACACATACCGATCGTCGTCTTATCCCAACGGCTGGATAAGTGATTCGATTTCTGCGTTTTCAATAATGGTACGAGATATTCTGGTACCTCCTGCATCCCTTACCAATGCAACAACAGCTGTAGCATACCCTTTGAAGCAAACTGGGACATAAGTGGGGAGAAATCTATGCTCACTGCAGCGGTTTTTATGGAGAACATCACGCTATGCGGCTATGTTAAAGAGTTAATTCTCCATTCATCATGGGCCAATCTATCAGGTACCATTTCGCCTACTGGTCAAGCTTCAGAGAGCGGTCGAGATCAACACACTCAACTCGGGCTTGGCAACCCAGTAGAGGCATTTCCGATAACTACGAACCAGTACGACCCCCCAGACCTATTTGCGGAGTTGGACAACAGGCTCTTGTCTGGCTTGTAATATACCGCCAAGTATTTGATGGGAGGATCCGTACCATACTACGAGAGTTTCGTTCGATGTGATGCAGAGCTGTTAGGAGGCCCGTGGCCGGTCATTTCATCATTGGGGATGTCACCCATACGACCGATCTGGGAAGCCAGCTACGCACACTATGGCAATGTTAAAGGCCTCATATACAAAAGCTTTGGTATGTTACCTTGAGTTATCAAAGAATTGGCATCCAGCATAGATTTTCTTCATTTTGCTTCCCTTACTCTTTTTCCTTTCCCCACTCCCCCCTCTTTTTCTCATGATCACTGGGAACTAATTCCTATCCTAGATCCAAGCGAATACGCCTGACGGACAGAACCCGTCAACTTCCATTGCCGACAATGCTGCGTTTGAAACTTTGGGGTTTAGGTTGGAGCATTCAGGCCTCAGAGAGGGGGGAAAAAATGAATGGTTAAACCTGGCACAGAGCAGGAGGAGATTTCAAGGAAGACCACACCGAGCCCAGCCCTCCCTAGTTTGTCTGTAACATTTTATGAAAAGGAAAATAGGACAATTCTTTCTGCATTTTGCCAAAAGATGTGTATCTATCGCCGGTGCCGCCTCCAGCGTAGGTAAAGCGTAAATGAAGCCTTCTTTCAAGGACAGATCGGGTGCATTTTTCGCGCTTCTCATAGGTAAGGTGTCAATCAGCAGCAGTGAGCTATACTCGCTTAATGAGAGCCGTACCATCCATCAAGGTTGTTTCAGTAATTCCTTGGACCGTTTGAGGGTCCGCAATAGAGGATGAAAGCCGTTCATGACATGACACGTTTGACCAAACTCAGACAATGGAGCAATCTTGTGTCCCCAGTATTTCTGGATTTCCTATCAGACCGGGCATCCGCGTTTACTGGAAGGTTCTCAGCAATTCCTCCTTACCATATTCTAACGTAGATTCAAACATATGGAATGCATTTGAAAACACTTCTGGTATTATGGCTCTTGACTGCATGACGGCCTCAGTTGACCAGGTAAGGTAGGCTATCGCCACCGAGTTCCTGCGACTCCAGATTCCTTCAAACCGCTTCTCTTATGAACGCATCAGCAGCGTTCAGTTCCGCAGGATCCTTGTCAGTACTGTCTTGATGAACAATTTACTTAGTGGCGTACCCTTGTATAGTAAAAATTCTTGTTGTTAGTATCTACCTATCCTGCCATTCTAACTATTCCTCCCTATATAGAGTACTCCTACTCTTTTTCAATTTAATTGTTACAACAGGTTAAGTATATTTTCTATATGCTTTAGATATGTAAATCTTATAGAGTAATTAGTTATCTAAAAGACTATGGCCTAACTAGTAGAAATTATAAGACCAACTGTATAGAGGTTATATTTAAGTTAGTAGTCACAGTATTTAGTAGATAATTCCAAACTTGCTCCACTGCCGCCACCAAGGAGCTCAAACCAAGATATCATATATCACATGAAAGCAACAGAACGTCAGGCCAAAAGATCATTAAGAAAGGGCAATCTAAGTGCTGGGACTGTGGAAAGATTGGTCATGGAATGTGCTGATTCTCGGTGGTTAAACACCACCAAGATCGCCACAAAACAAATTTACCATGCAAAATATAAAGGTGAGTTCCTCAGTAACTAACTACTTGCTAGTAGTAAACTACTACTCCATACGCTGCAATAACCCCAGAACAAGTCTAGCAGATTTTGCTTGTCACAATCAATACACAACTGGTTTTGGTCGGTATGGATCTTCTAGGTACTTGACCTCGTCATCTGATAATTGAAATGTCACAGCTTGAACTGCGTCATCAATGCGAGATGTGCTTCCTAAGCCGGTGATCGGACACAGTCCTTTCCGGAGACACCAGGCCAGAGCGACAATCGCCATCTTGACACTTCTCTTGGCCGCAACTTCAGTCACCCGGTCCACCACCTCCTTGTCTTCAAGAGTCTCGTGGCTCCGAACCAGGCGCTGGAGTAACTTATCCGTCTGCTCGCGATCAGTCTCTCTCTCTGTCCATGGATGGGCCAGCACACCACGTGCGAGGGGACTCCATGGTAGAATTCCGACTCCAGCATCCCGGCAGAAAGGAATCATTTCTCGCTCCTCCTCGCGATAGAGAAGATTATAATAGTTTTGCATAGAGATAAATTTGTGCCACCCATTCCGCTCCGCTGTGTTCTGCAGCTTCTGAAACTCCCACGTCGCCATCGAACTTGCTCCGAGATACCGCACTTGGCCGCTTTCGACCACGTCATTCAATGCTTTCATTGTTTCCATGAGGCTGACATCACGGTCCAGTCGGTGGATCTGTAGGACGTCAATGTACGTACCCAGCCTTTCAATACTCTCCGCCACAGCGGACATGATGTGTTTGCGTGACAAGCCAACTCTGTTTACCAAGCCATGTTTCTTTTTGTCCATCAAAGCCGCGATAGGACTCTGGCCATCCGGGTCAAGCGCATAAAATATCTTAGTTAGAATCACCACCTGTTCTCGAGGAATGCCGTAGACACGCAGGGCCTTGCCAATAATCTCTTCTGACCGACCGTTGGAATACGCATCAGCCTGCGATTGAGAAAGCAGTCAATGTCAAGAACTCGTCAATAAAGCCAAAGCTGATGAGGCTACCGTATCCCAAGTATTGATGCCCATGTCGTAAGCATGCTTCAGTAAAGGCAACGCAGCCTCCTCATTCAAGATCCATTCCTGCCAGCGTGAAGATCCGTAGCTGGCTGTGCCGAGGATAATCTTCGACACGTAGAGTCCCGAGTCGCCTACTCTATGGCAACCACGAGCGTTAGCAACTGGATGAGACTCTTTGGGAGATATAATTCTACCTTGTGTATTCCATCTTGTTGACTTTTATCAAAAGGTTGGATTGATGATCCGAAACCCTTTTGGCGTCCCTTGATTTATTATCTTTCTGCTTACATCCAAACGCACTCAGGTGGAGCGTGTAGGCGGACAATCTTCCGGACTTCAGCCCGGGTTCAATGAATACAAACTGAACAATATTTAAGTAACAAACCTTAGTAGAACTTGCGCAAGGATGATGCTTATACTGGTCATTTATAATTCACATCCAGGAAACTACTAACCCTACACAATGGATCGTCTTCCTATCTTTAATTTGTCATACGTGACCAGCACCGCACTGCTTACGGAAGTTACGGCTTACCGCTGCTATCCCAATGAACCATGCTAGCCAGCGGTTAAGGGCCAGCTCATCCAGATCGTCCCACTTACCAATCATGTCATAATCCCTATTTCAACAGAAACGGCATAGACCTTCGCGACTTGAGCTCAGGTGAACAACGCACTGAGGTGAGTGAAATGCATAGTGGCGGTAAAAGAGAAGTTAGTCAGTTAACCTTGGGACATCGGGCCTGTAATAACATAGAAAGAGAATAGTGAAAGCCCCACTGGCTAGGAAAAAACTAATATTAGCTGCCATAGATCCGACTGTGGGCGGCAGGACTACCCGGTGGGAGGGATGCAACTTGTAGGTTGCACTGGGAAAGGGCGAGAAACAGGGACCATAGATATGAAGAAGGGGAATCCAACCTAGACACTCATCTGCTAACCATATCTCGATTTGGGATCAAATTCTACTGTCCCGAGTCTTCCCCCCACGTAACACCAGTTAACCATACCCCCTAGTACATGAACATTCTACAGTGGAATTACTTCTCTCCTGCAGATTTGCAAACTTTGCCCATATTCAGTGTCTCTCAGGGCAATATGAAGTTACCGTCTAATACGTACCCTACCGCAAGGACACTTGCCCAGCGAAGGATAGGCCATATGAGAAGTATTAGAATATAAAGGACCATCAGTGCGTTCCCACGGTGCGGCTCGTTCCATGAACAATTCATAACAGTAGCGACGTCTTAATGCAGACGAGATTTGCCCGCCTTCCTGCTCTCGGCGAGAGCACCAGCAAGGCCATACTGACTGAGCACTCCGTTAATGCGGTGAGTTGAATTCAGATTCTTGACGACGACCATCTGGTAGCAGGCAGCAGAGCCTTGACGAGAAGCAATGACCGACCAGGCCAGGAAGAGTTCCCAAATCTATCGAACATTAGCGACGATTGTACCATAAAAGAAAAACGGATACGTACCCTGTACCATCTAAGACCATACTTGGACTTGATTGCCTCGAAATTTCCAACCCAGTTACGGTACCACCTCCAGAGCGTGCCTGAGTAGTGAATACCAACCGTGTCAATACTGTTTGTTATCAGCCTTTGAAACGAGAAAAGAATCCAGCCCCGTCTCACCCTCTAACTTCGAATCCAGCTTGTTCCAGGCATTTCACGTAGTACCACAAGGGAGTCGAAGCGTCTGCGCCGCGGAAAATGTATTTGTTCAAATACAGACCCCAGACGAAATCCTCGTACTGCCAAGCCTGTCTCAGACCGGAAAGCTGCACGTACATGGCTCCATCGTCGTTAAGCATGTCATAGCACTGGCGGAAAAACCCGGTAAGTTTCCTGATGCCGACGTGCTCGCCCATCTCCAGCTGTGTGATCTTGTCGTATTTCATGCGGGGTATGTCGCGGTAGTCCATGCAGAGGATGCGGCTCTGTTTGTCAGAGATGCCGGCTTTGCGGAGGGCATCATTGCCCCAGGCGGTCTGATTCTCAGCAATGGTGAGTCCGGTCACCTTTGCGCCGTAGTTGAGACTGGCAAATTTGGCCAGGGTTCCCCAACCGCAGCCAATGTCAAGCATGGTCTCGCCTTCCTTCAGGCCAATCTTCTCGCAAACAATGGCCATCTTGTTATCCTGCATTTCCTCCAGGGTCTCTTCCCGCTCAGGATCTGAGATAATTCCGGACGTATAGATCATACGCGGACCGAGGAACCAGGCGTAATGGTCGTTGCCGCAGTCGTAGTTGGGGCGGACCTGCTCCTCATCCTGGGCCTTTGTGTGGAAGATGATGTTGACAAAGAAGGTGAAGATGATGAACTTGAACAGGTCCCAGGTAAAGGCAAAGCTGGCCCAATCATGCCTGTATTCTAAGATGTCGAGCACATCGCCGTTAAAATCCACCAAGCCATCCAAGTACATTTCCGCAAAGGTCTGCATGGGGATTTTCTTTCTTCCCTGCCATTTCAACTGGTCCTCATCGCTCTTGAAAGTCACATAGTGCTCAATAGGTCGGCCAGGCAACTTAACTTTGTCGTTGATCCGTGGGCTGCAAGTAGAGGTCCAGGTCCAAAAGGCCACCAGAACAGGAAGTACGGAAAGAAGAGCAACGAAGATGAAAGATTTTACTCCACCGCCAAGTAGGTATGTTAGGAGGGCAGGAACTCCGGTGATGGCGCTGGCCAGGAGCACGTTGGAGAAGCTCTCGTTTCCTGCACCATCCGATGGCAACGGGGCATTATGGATAGCTTTGGCCTTGGAAGAAGTCAGCAAGGTTTTGGGCAGATAAACCACAAGCCAGCGACAGCGGTGAACTGACATTGGTCAAGGAGATTCCACAGGTCTCGCCGGTGTTATACTCCGAGGGCGTTGCCGTGGGGGTCTTGATGAACTTGATATCGCCAGACAGCTCAACACCTTTAGATCTGGTGGTATTCATGGTCAATTGATACCCTCGTCACGAGTTCTCTTTGTTGCTTGACCGGAGACAAGAAGAAAAAGATATCTGAGACGGGACGGTTGCTCCATAATATGCCGTGTTGATCGTCCCACCCCACGTCCTCGTTGTCCGCGGACGCCGAGAACATAACATGTGTCCACTACTGAGCAACGGATATCTGCAGCGGCCACCAACGCGTCCTCTCAAAGTTGGACAGACAAAGCAAGACATGCCACGGTAAGATCTGGTCCGGAAGTCACGGTGGATAAAGGGATCTCTCATACCCAGGCGAATCTGGAGTGTCGGCATGTAACGAGTAGAAACCGGGATACTACTTAGCCAGGAACAACTGTAGAACAGAGCAGATGGATTGGGATAAAATAGCCAAGATTTGGATACAGAGCTAGGAACCTTGGATCAGTGAACTACTATTGTATATATACAAAATAATACATACTGTTGCGCAGGGACTTTATCACTTGGTCGCCATAGGTACTGGCCTTTGTTGTTTCCTAAGAAGGAACTTCCTAAGCCCAGGTACAACATCAATAACGCCCCCAGTTTCTATTATTGGGCTAGTTGTGTACTAGTTCTCCTTTCTTGGGAGTGGCTGTTTTCAAGTTCCTCCACCGTCTTCATCCTTGCTGAATATTACTGACTTATAGTAGTCCCCAAATGTTATGGTCCTATGGATCAGGGAGGAGATGGTCTAAGGATTCTGCCCACGATGATCTGCCATCCCTGGACCCTGGTGACTGTGGACAGGCTGTTCTTAGTCACACAGAACAGCCCAGTCCGTACAGAATAGTGAATAGTCTCATCTCTAGAGTGGCATAACCAAACCGCTAAAATCGAATCCAACCCTCAGCGAACCCGGAGTAGTGAGGGTTTGCCCTACCCTAGGGAACCACTTTAGGTTTGTTTTCACTACCCTGGGCCTAATTCAGGTTTGGTTAAAACCATTGGATATAGCTTTTACAGTTTTATTAGATTAAGTTAAATAATTTAGACTATTTTAGACCCTAATTACAAATTTCTAGGATTTATCTATAAATATTAGTATCACTAGATAGCCCTTAGAGTTGCATTTTGTGCGAGTTCGGGCGAGTCCAACATTAGTTGGAACCGAACTGATGCAATTTTGAGTTGAAATTTTAGAAATCAAATCCAAATCAAATCTAATGTGATTTAGTTGTGGATTCACTGTAAAAACCCGCCACTAGGCCTAGCTAGGTATAGCTAGGCACCTACTAACCTATCTAGGCCAGCGGTATACCTAGGCAATAAAAAAAATTTTAATGGTTTTTAGAATTCAATTTCTCCTACCTTAGGCCTATACTTTAAGCCTATTAGATAGGCTTATATAATATTATAGTCTTTATATGAAATATATAGTAATTATAGCTATTTTAATCTATATTAGAAATATTAATTCAATATCTATAGGTTTGAATAGGTGGTGGTTAAAAATATATTCTAACCATGGTGAGTATCAGACCATAGTACCCTTATATATATATATCCACACCACTTTTATACCAACCCATAACAAAAATGATTATTCCCCTACATCTCACCAACCACTAGATCTTTTGAATTAATATTTTCTATTTAGATAGACTAGATACTAGGCTATCTAGTGATATTAATATTTCTATGGAAATCCTAGAAATTAGTGATCACTAAGCAAAATGGTTTTTTGCAGTTCAACCAAAGACTGTTAGGCACCTGCGCTAGGCCACATGGTATCCAACTGAGGCAAAAGACCTACTATGATTGACCCCTTGGTCAATCATGCCTAGCCTCCATATATATAGTATCTTAGTCACTAACAAAGACCCCCTGGATCTGACCCAGAACCACCCCTAACTAAGTGCAGGTTTGCAATCTAGGAACTGAATCGAACCGCTGCAAGTTTGGTGAGGGTTGGGTTCGATTTTTGCGGGTCGGTTATGCCACTCTACTTACAGATGTATATTATTATTAAAGGCTTAGCTAACTAAGTAGAGATAGGATAACTTCTGAGCTTATATAGTATTATTGTATCTAGAACCTGGCTGGTTTCTGTAATAATAAAGATTAGAAACTAGGGCTTTAGTAGAGTTGCATTTGGTCTGACTTCGGGCGAGTTCAAAACCAGTTGGCACCGAACCGCTTGCGATTTCGAGTTCAAATTTTAGAAATCGGAACCAACCCTGATCTGGTCTGATTTGGTGCTTGTATGCGACTCCGAAGCCGTATCTGTGGGTTTCAGTTCCTGACGCTTTTTAACAACGCATACACTTTCTCTCCATTATTTCGCAAATTGACTCCTGACCTCAGAGTGTCATTTCACGGAACCGGAATTAAGGACGGATTGTCTTGTCGGGTGCTGGATGAACCTTTACAGGGCTTATCTACAGGTAGCAGATCTCATGGGACAACCGGAAGTGTATGCCATTGTCACATATGGATCTGTGTCCGTGAAAACGAACCCAAATGGTCGTCTTGCTAGGCAAACTAGCGTGCATGTCTAAAGATTGCGATTTGCCCAGAGTGGTGGAGTATAAACTGCACTTAGTGGGAATGGATAAACCGAAGCGAGTAAACAAGGTGTGTCGGTGGTTGCCTGCTACTGAGAATAAAGTGGCCAGTTGCTCCCTTATCTAGGGCCCAGACTCGAGGCGATGATAGTATCAGAAGCCAACACCCAGAGAGAAACACCTGTTCGCAATTGATGATCTCCTTAAGGCTCCACTTCAAGCTGGCTGGTGTTTCAGATCCCGATCAACCGTCCTAAGCGAAGTATCTGTACCGACTTGGCAATCACATGGATCGTCCCGAGTGCGGACTACAACAGCCGAGCTTACAGTTCCACATCGACAATCGACAGATGTTTCAGTCATAAGGCTGGCCATACGCGAACCGCCATTTTGCTGGTCTCCCCACATCTAATACTACCCTACGGCTACTAATTTTAGAATACCGAACAGGGGAGTGTGTATATATTACCCTATTAAGTATAGGTCCCTCCACCAAGCAAGTCGAAAACGGGACTTTTGAGAAGTCCAAAACATGGTCAGAAAGCTAACAAACTTTATGGGCAGACCCTTGTAGATTCCCATTGGGCATCTCCTGGAAAAGATTCTTTATCGCAGAGTAGATGAACGGCAAAAATAAATTCCTGGAGGTATACAGTGTGTTGCTGGGATGCTGCTAGTCAAGGAGGCTTCGTGACTTCTTACATTCTAACACAAGGACACTAACAACGACTACCTACATCCTTTGAAGCACTGATAGATGTCATCCAAAGCTCAAGATAGGTTGAATCCTGGAGACTTGTCCTAGATCTCCGGCAAACTGTGGGTCCCCTGCATTTTACCTAATGGACCCTTACCCGAGTCTCACTCTAAAACAAGTTGAAGAACCTGGCTTGTTTGATCTGACAATTTCATTGGACTCTTGTCGTTCATGAAACCAGGAGTTGTACTCATGATGATCTAGCCTGGTTTTTCCGTCGATCAAACCTTCGCTGCCCTCGCTTAACGAGAGAAAAGTCTACCAAAACCATCTATATGTGCTTTATGGATATGCACAAGGAAATCGGAGCTGGCCGCATCACATGGGTGTGTTTCATGTTTTACTAGCAACAGCTTTCTCGCACAGTGTTGTGGATTTGGTAGACCTCTAATGCCTCATGGGCATGAGAGAAAGGGGATGACCCGGTAAGGATGAGTGTATATAAGGGCGTCTGGTATCCTGCTCTTTCAAGTATCAAGTCAAGCACCCCAGCAATCATACTTTGGTCAAAGAGCTTTCACTACTCTGTCCATCTCACTTCATCAACATGTTGATTAAAAACGTCCTCACTGTGACAGCACTTCTTGTGAGCCAGGTTAGTGCTCATGGCCTGGTGACGCGTATCAAAGGCGCCAATGGCGTCGATATGCCTGGCTTAACGAGTGAGCTCATCCTTGTTCCCGGGCCACTATGGCTTGTCATATTAATCGTGTTTAGTCATTGATGGAATACCACGGGATTGCCCGTCTGCGGCATGCGGCGGACAAAAGGACACGGCCATCATCCGAGACCAGGAAATGGGAGGTATCAAGGCTTCGCCTTTGGGCCGTACTATGGGCTCTGGTCCGGTGTATGCGGCCACAGTCATTAACAAGTTCATGGGCACTGCGACGGAAAAGAGGGGTCGAGTCCCCCCCTCAGAGAGGCGTACGTGATTGCGTTCCAATTGCAGCATCAAAGAGGCTAATATGTTCTCAGGTCGACAACTGATCAACGATGCGGCGAGTGTCATCACTAATGCCGGTGGAACTATTCTTAATGGTATGTATTCACTATATAACCAAACGAAGCAGAACTGACGTTGTGTAGGCGTCCAAGATATCGCAGACAAGACCCCCTTGGGTGGGACTATTAAGAGTAAGGACCTCCATTACATTCGAGAGACCGAGGCTGATAAGGGCAACAGGCGCCCAGTCCGCGGTTGATGATGCCCTCAGTATTGTGCCAGGTCTGAAGTCCGGTGCAATGACAACCCAGGGCACCAAGGAGAATGGTATTCAGTTATACTCTGGCAAAGGTTCCAGCTCGGGTCTGCCTACCGCATCTGCAGATGGTGTTGTCACAGTTATTTATCACCAGGTAGAAGGACACTCCAGGAAGAAATGGACCGATATTGACTTGGATACTCTAGGTAAACCAAGACGGCGCTGGACCCCTCACAGCCGACATTGATCCGTCCAGCGGAGGAACCGATGCAAAGGCGTTCGTGTCGGCCAAAGTGATTCAGAACATCCCTGGTGTGGCCGGGTTCTCGACGTCCAGCACTATGGACTACGAGGTTAAAGTCCAGGTGCCTAAAGGGATGAAATGCACTGGAACAGTTGGTGCGGCCAAGAATGTTTGCATTGTACGTGTTCGGAACACTGCCATCTCCGGACCATTTGGCGGTTCTGCTGCATTTACGATGTGAGAGGTGGTAAATGTAGACAATTCCCCTTGTATTTGCCGTGTCGCGTCTATGGTTTGATATACCATGATTTTTTAGCTTCTAATTACGTACACTGTGGTTTTATAATTAATAGAAACGAACGTTTAATCAAATAGCCTGGAGGTTCTTACAGCCAAGCAACTGCTATACATACTACCAGAAGATGAGTTTCCGCTGCCTGCAAAAGCTACTCTGTTGAACATGGCTTCTTAAAAGTCCGCTCTCAGCTTGTCCACAGGAGGCAAAATACCCTCCTCCTCGAGAACCCTGAAGGTATCCTCCAGCTCCTCCCAAGTATCAGCATAGCCATCCCAGCCCAACCGCCTTGCCTTGCTCATTGTCGCAACACAGCTCCAGTCTCTTCCCAGCGCAAAGGTGAGGAAGTCCCACGTGGCCCTGTCCCATCCGCTTTGGTCGAGATTGTATTTATCGCGCAGTTTAGCCCATGCCTCATTCACATCCTTGCGCTTGGCCCATTTCTCCGGATCGACCTGCAGGAACAAGCTGGGAGTGTCATCGGCTGGGACGCCGATCTTGTCCGCGTGTACAGCAAGCGGGTGTCGGTTCGGCTTCCGCACAGTCGTTGCCTCGTATTTACCGAACCCCTGGGTATCCGGGGTCCCTCCATGAGGGAACATCGGGTTGGGAACCTTACAGCCAAAGCGCGCAGCCAGCCGGGGCCACAGATTCTGGAAGGACTCCGTATCGCCGTTCATCACGTTGAAGATGTTGTTGCCTGCGTTGGGGGCAGTTGCCGCCCAGAGACAGAACTTGGCGTGCAGGTTCGCCGACGTCCAGCAGTTAAAGGCAAAGTAGTTGGCTTTGCACCCAGGGAAAGGTAGTTCGGAGCCTGGGAGGGCCTTGCTGACGGCGCAGTAGAGACCCAGTGCGGTGGCTTCGTTCATGAAGTTGCCCCGCGCATAGCCGAGGACGTCTTGTGGGAGCGTGACGATCCATTCCCACTGGCCTCGTGCGGCAGCCTCTTTGAGGATCCGCTGCTGTTCATAGTAGAAGTTCGGGGGCCAGGTGGTGCCACCCTGGTTGCCCTCAATCAGAGGATCATCCTCAGCGAGTGGCTGCTTGCAATTACCCAGATGGACACCGTAATGTTTGAAGCCACAAGTCAGAACAAAGCGCTTCAACTTCTTGATAGCACCATTGATTTGCAATGCCTGGATAAAGTTTGACAACATCAGGCCGTTCACGCGCGACAACTCCGCTGGATCATCTTGTGGCAGGTAGGCGCAGAAAAAGACATACTCGGCGGAGATGTCTTTGAGGTTCCTGGCCATGTCCTCGGCTGAGCCACAGAGGTCGACGGTGGCATGTTGAATCTTTGCATTTTCCCCTCCAAGGTTTCTGCGAGAGAGGGAATAGATCTTTTCAAATCGAGTGTCTTCGCATAAAAGACGCACAATAGCATTCCCGGTGATGCCTGAAGACTATTAGCAGGCGTTATCGGATGATATAGGCAACTTACCAGTTGCACCAGTAACAATTGCGGATGGCATATTCAAGGAAACAATAGAGGAGAGGTATAATCAATTGTTTATCATTCCACAAATTGATGAGAGAGATTAATGGCATAAGCATGGATAGGGTAAGTCTTTATATGCATGTCTTACTTGATTTAGCAAACAAGGATATGGTCATGACAAAGTATGATATCACCAAACGACATGAAAAACAGCGGCATTTCTATGACCACAATCATTGGGTCAGTTATAACTCACTATTACCACCAAAAATGGAGTAATTGAGCACAGTAGCTAGAGTGGTCATTATTGGCCCATATGCCAGTCTCTGCATGGAGGATCTCCAGAATCGGTGGAACAGATGCCAGTAGATTTCAGAATTTGGCCCCATCCACGGGGCACAAAATCGGCAAATATGGTATGAATATCTCTTAAGTTTACTCCTCTGGAGGTTACTGTGGCCTGGCAGGCAGGCCTAAAGGCCAAGGGAAATGACTGCGACCTTCTCTTCATGGTTAAATCTCCCCGAGTCCCGAAACAAAACGCCCACGGTTGTTACACTAGGCACTTGCAATATATACAGGTGGAGGCTCCATTTCAGATTGATGCTTGCGTACTCGCAGATTACGCCATTCAGAACAATGCGAATAAGATGTCGAGCACATGAGGGGAAGGTTACATGGTGTGGACTCAACTAGCTGTATCCTTGTCTCCAAGGTTCTCCGCTTGTTCTGTTTGCCTAGCGTGCCCAACTGCTTTCAAAAGGGGTAACAAGTCACACTACATTCTAGAATTACTAGAGACAAAGTCCCTGATCTTCCTGCCCAGAGAACAATAGCATTGACAGACTCATGGAGATAACTATACGGGGAAAAAGGTCTATATATGCCTAGATATGGGTCAAGGCGCACCAGCTGACAAAGTCCTTACAACAGACAATGAATCCCATTTTTTCATCCCTTTGCTGGGGAGAACTGGGGCGATCGAGGCACTCCCAGGTGGAAGTATCCTGGCCAGCTACACCGAAGTCTGAAGCCCTTTTACAATATGCATCGTTTGTATTGGTGAGGAAGGAGCTCGCTGACTCGCCCTGGTTGATCCCGACAGGGATAAGGTCTGTGTGCTGGGCTGGGCTGACCATCAACTAGAAAATTAATGAATGAAGAATAATTGTGATCAAGTCTCCTTTGCTTGGTCGATACCATGGATGATCCTTGAGTTTCAGAGAATACAATCCGAGCTTGAGACTCAATTTATACTTATGAGACAAGGACGATTAGCCTATCAACTGGCTTTTCCTCTTCTGCCTGCTATAGGTACACAACAACAGGCTTCTTTGATAATGTTAAGCCATCTTCGCTCATGCAAGCAGCATTGATCATGAGAGTAGATGATCTCTCACCATGACGCAGACCGACCAGTTCCCTCACAGTGGTGGACATTGCCGACAACAAAACTATTGCAGCATCACACCACAGTCTTGCTTGAAGAAAATATGCACGGCCAAAGAGCCCCAATCTAGTGCTGGACAACTTCGAAAACCCCAAGCAGTACCTCTCAAACCACCTCTGAGAGCTGTCCCAATGAATCCGCTCTACCCCATATGATGTATGCACATGCCCAAACACATGTAGTAACGGACGAACATTCCACAATTCTTGAAGTAAAAAGGGGCAACCCTCCGGCGAGTCGTGGTACCAGTCCAAGTGGAACTTTGGCGGAGTGTGTGTCACCAGGATATCAGTAGATGCAGGGATGTTGCCAGACCAAGGATTGTGATCGATTGGGTATTGGAATGCATTCTCGGGGCCGCCACAAACAGGGACTTGCGGCGCTCCGTAAATATTTATCTGCCGTCGAACACCAGAGGAAGCGCCAGGAAAACTTAGAGACACTGAGGTTTGCTGGAGATAATGTATGCTGCCCCAGTCGAAGGTTGTGCCAGGTCTCTGTTGCGGAGAATCCCTTTCGTGAATGTGGCTGTTAACTGAGGATGTTGTCACCGCGTCGTCGGCTAACCGAGAATTGACATCGAAAAATCGATCACTATTACCGCATATGACAACCTTGTGGGGATGCGGTAGTGATTTTAGCCAGTTAATGGCTTCCTGGATTTCGGCTGCGCTTCCGTGGAGGGATAAGTCTCCAGCATGGATCAGAAGGTCGCCATATGAGATGTCGCAACGCTGGGAGTGAGTGTCAGAGACACAGACCACTCGGATGCGTGATTGTCGTCGACTTTTAGCCGATGCTATTATCCAAGTCAGGTGGTTCAATAAGGTATAGACTGCCCTGACGATCGTTGTAAGAGGGGATGATATGTGTTGATGAGGATGGCCACCATGTCCTATCTGAAGAAAGAGAGTCTTTAAGCCGAACAGATTTTTTCCAAACATTGCAAAATTATGCTACAGTTTGTGGATGTATATGTACAGGTATAATAGACGTGAGTGCGAGTACTAATACCCCGCCCTCGCTAGGCAGCCTCTGGATGACGTGGGCAGCATTCGGGTTACGGACAGAAGGCCGGAACGCCCTTTGATTCACTCAATTCTATGACAAAATTGTCTAATGAATGAGACTTATTGATCTGTTGATATTATACGCTATATTCCAGTCCAATGGCCGAAATGCCGTCCCTCGAAGGATCTACCTCTCTGCGAAGCAAGCTCGATATCGGTATACGTAGTTCACAAGGTACTGGGTCAAGCTTTCGCAGTATGGCGGAATTCAACATCTCAATACCATTGCAGCTAGATTGTGGAAAGTATACTAGTTCATACTGTAATGACTCCCCGAGACTTGCACATAGTCGCTGCCGCTGACCTTGAACAGCCCCACGACAGCCGATCAGTGAAAGCTGCAGTTGTTACTAAAGAACTCAAGCCGCCCTTTGATAACCACTGATAAAGCCAACAGGTCACAATTGACATGTGGAAGGGAAATCGTCCAGGTTGCTGATGGACTCGGGGCCGCCTACGCCTGAATCGCACCGTCTTGGTGACAGTATCACTTGTGGACCTGAAACGTCGGTTGGATGAGCTAGGCGACCTGAAGACATACAAGTTGCGGTGAACAGGACAGCACAGGTGGCTTACGATGCATTCCATGAGTAGCTACGGTGTGGAATTCTGGATCTTTTTCTATCCACTGCAAGTGTTACATATTGCCACTACCTCCTGGTTGGCTAGTAGAAGATCAATAGTATGCATACATACTTCTGTGCACCCTGGTGGTGCCAATTGGCAGACGTACGACGCATCAAGAAGTATGGCTTGATGAGGAGGGGTTTCGACAAAATGAGCGATGCCGGTCCATCTCTCCGGAGAGTGGCTGCACAAGACTACTTCAAAGAACACGAGAATTACTTGGACCGAACCAACGGCATGCAGGCAGGGTTGCTGACTGGGAATGAATTAAAGAAAAAGACATTGCAGAAGAAGTCGAAGACCGGTGCTCAACTGGCTCGGGATCTGGAGCCTTATGAGATGGAGCAAAGTGTGGCCAAAGATGGAACTTGCAATGATATAACTGCAGCCGTATGTACTTTTCTTATTAGCAACATGAAACATTGATAGTTACATCTATGGGAGATGGGAAAAGAGAAAACCTGATCAGTGACCATGGCGACCCTCAATCAAATCCTTCGCAGCAACCTTTCTGCATTCCTCCAACACGCTTAATTGTTCGGCAACCTCGCCCAGTCTGCTAATGACTTCCTTGTTTCCCCGCGTAAAACCAAATATGACGTAGGGAATTCCAACGTCGCGGCAGAATTCCTTCACATACGGCTGCGCCCGGCGCAAGTTATGCCTCGGGAGGCGAGGGAACAGATGGTGCACGACTTGGAAATTGAGGCCGCCGTGCACAAAGTCCAGCCACGGCGGGCAATCGACGTCCATGGTCGTCCGCACCATCTTCTGAGCAAATGACTCATCAACGCCCAGATCGGCGCTGGACATGGCGAAGTGACTGAGTGTGAGTTGTACGTGCAACGGGGCGGTGACCATATGCGAGATGAAGAGAAATATGATGCGGGCCGACCACGTCGGGATCGAGAGGTATACCGTCCGGTAGCCGTACCAGTACCAGAAGAAAACCTGGCCCGCCATTTCAAGGTAGCGGTGCCACCATGCTGCGCCTTTCCGGGGCGCCTGCGCCGGATCGAGGAGGTATGACCATGCTAGGCGGTACAGGTTGAAACGACCGAATAATAGTATGGGATAGTAGAGGTAATGCTGATACTTGATGAAGAACCGTGCTGCAGCGTCGAGGTTCATATCGCGGTCGTAGTAGCTCGAGTGCAGAGAATTAAAGAATCGAGAGGAGATGGCGAAAAATGGCATGTGCTGGATGTCCGGATCGTGCTCGGGCGAGTTGGTTACTATGTGATGCACGTTGTGGTTTCGCTTCCACCAACCGACTGAAAGACCACCGAGGAAATCTGCGATGAAAATCCCGATGCAGCTGTCCGTGTGGAATCCATGGGTTATGCTTAGATGACCGGCGTCGTGGACGGTGAATGCAAGCAGGTGCCAGAGTAGCCCAAGAAAAAGGCCCGAAAGAGCGTAATAGGAGTAGTGAAGACATGTCAAGAAGAGGACGAAAAGAACCAAGTATCGGAGAAATTCAACAGCGTATGAGGTATATGGACAATCGTAGAGACCTTCGGATTGCAGCGTTTCATCGAGCTGGCGGTACTTTGAGGCGACCTCGTCTTGGGACCTCTTATCCAGACGAGGATATTTTGAGAGATCAGATGATATCGCGTGGGCAATTGATGCTTCTGCAGGCCTGAATTTCCCCAGCTCCGGCTCTGATGGGGACAATGATGAAGCTCGAGAAATGGGTGTATCGTTCTTTGCACGCCTCAGACGAACTTGGTCTCCTGTGTCGTCGGGATCGAAGACTGTTGATGGTGGTGTCGATTGTCCAGATGAGCTGACATCCTCTTCGGCAGATACCGCTTCGTCGTCGACGTCCTTCGAGACCAGCGTTCTGAACGTTCCTCCCTGTATCGGAGGCAAGAAATTTTGCCATTTTCCGTGTATTCTTCCTACCACATACTTTTGCATATGTGTCTGTGCTTCCTTTGAGTGCAATGCTGTTATTTCGTCCGTTGCATCCCGGCCAACCATGTGTAATATGGATTTATTGCCACCTGGATGATATGGTAGCCACGAGTCGACCTTGAGCACCTGATCACCCAATATTATGATCTTATGGCCATCTGCTATCAATCCCTCGATTTCTCTCCGCGCCCATACTCGATTTTTGCGTGACATGGCCGGCGCCGTAGGCCAATGGTACCTGCAGCGAAGGAGCTATAGATTGTCTTCAATCCCGGACAGATGATGACGATGGACGCGTAGCATTAGACGGAAAGGAATGAGGTACTCGCATGTAGGTCGTATGATGGTGTTGTTTGTTCGTCCATTACCACTAGGAAACTCGTCAGCCTACAGGGTCACGTGTGGGACATAATTCTCTAATCACCCCGACGACAGAACAAGAGATAGTTAAGACATTAATTATGCTGATTTGGCACACCTAGAACAGCCAATTTCTTGCCATAAAAAGTGTCGCCCCACTCAAGTATTAGTGTATTGTACGATATGTATGGTACTAGTTATTCAGGCTTCCGAGGTTAATCCTAGTGAGTGGACTACTGTACCTGTTATGACTCATGACTCATGTGTTTTGATATTATCTTACGACTAAATCATTAGCGATACACTAGTGGAGTAATGCTTGTTCCTGGTAAATAACAGGATTCAGTGGTGGGACTGCGCAAGTGGGCTTGGTGTACAAGAAAGTTTCTAGGACGCCTATTGTGAGTCTGTGACAGGAATCGCTGGGTTCGGCATGCATTATCGTGCATAGCAACCTGTTGTCAATCTATGGTGCAACAGATCCACCAGGCGGCTGACAGATGCAAAATTGGCGTATATTGAGGCCGCCGGGAGGGTGGCACCGATGGACGCCCTATTCAAAAGATATATATATATATACGTCGCAGTATTCAGTATGGCTCCGCCTACGCCTGAAGATAAATAGTCCCTGCGGTGTATTGTCAGCTTAGCTTTGAGAGCATCCAGTTTCTTCTCTTACTGCCAGCTTTGCGATCTTATCACAGCCGCCAAAGTCGTTTAGGGCTGGGAGTTGCTGAGCCATGTTCATGTGGATTTCGCTCACTGCCGAGATTGGTTTGGTGGGGGGCCACCGTGAAGCATGTTATAGGTGCCATCATCATTTCTTGTTTCTGTATTAGCCATTTGGGTATTTCGCTTTCAGTCTTCTCGGTCGTCTTTAAAGCATGTGCTAGCGGAAAGAGAGAGATCCCCATTGGCTTACGTACCTAGGAGTTTCTTGACCTGAACTATATAATTGAGATATTTGCCGAGGGATTGATATATAAAGTCTATAACACTACGCAACGCCCATACCGGCGTCGTCGTTGCTTTTCTGGCAGGGATTGCCTGTGTTCGGCTGGTGGGGATTGCCCCTGTTCGAAGGAGGCAATACTGTCAAAATCGAATAGAAGAAGCCCTGCAGCCTTGTTATTCAACATATCTGTTCGTACTCTTTCCCGCTCGACCTCCTCCGTTGACTTATCGAAGCCGGCGTCGCTCTCAATATCCAGCGCCTGCTCCCAGTGATAAAGCGCCTGCCGCCAGTGGCCTTCCCGCCCTTCCCTGAAGTCCTCCTTCGTATCATCTTGCTCCGACTCATCCTTCTCTGTCAGTAAACCCATATGAGTCTCACCTGTCTTCTGCCCCTCCCATTCCCTACGCTCATAATACTTTGCCGCCCCCTCTTCTACAACTTCCGACAGGGTGCGGTGGATGGCTGCCCGGCTCGCTGGCGTAGCGCCGATAAACAAGTCATCTTCGAGGACCTTGTAGAGGAGATTCCTCGCTCCGTCAATGTCAGGACGTTCAGGGAACCGACTTTGCATTTTGCGCTTGGCCAGAAGCACAGTCTCCAAGACGTCCTTATCTTGCCCTAACAAGGCGTTTCCCTCAGGCAGCATCCCGCCGTCCATAGAAGATCCTGCGGAATCAAACCCACTGATGTCGAAGCCTTTGGCCTCGATCGCATGATAAAAAGCCCTTCGGGCTGCAGCCTTCTCTCGCAGCTGGCCGGCGCTCATGTTTTTTGAAGGATCCGGCGCGGCCTTCGACGACGCCAGAATTTCCAGCTGTGGCCCCACGGCGTCTTTTATCGGGTCGTACCCCACTAGACGAGTCCTGCGGCTGTATATCGACATCATCAGCCCTTTGTACTTCTGTGCCTCTCCTTCTTCGTGTTGCGAGTAGTAGTCGAAAAGAGACATGCAGAATATAATTCTGCTTATATCCACTAGGACCAACAACTCGAACTTCTTTCTCCATCCTGCACCACTAAGCCGCTGGTACTGGTCTTCTAGCTCACCAATCCATTGAAGAGCCAATTTCCAGAATTCCGCCATCAGCGGCCGCCGGTTCCTATCAAATAGAGCCCCTTGACCGTCATATGCATGAGGTGTAGGAGCTCATGGAAACTTGCAGGATTGGAACCAAATATAAGTGCCATATATGTCGTCCCTAGAAAATTGTAAAATTCCCGTTGACATGCTGCACGAGGACGGTCCCATTCCCTCTTCCAATAAAGCTCGCGTAATGGCCACTGTTTGATTCGGGCACTGAACAGAGCCGGCATATTACTTACCGACATCTCCAAGGTACCAAAGTGATCCTTTGTCGCTTTCTCTCTCACACCCAGTACGACTAGTGGATGTAGAGTGACGTATTCGTCCTCGTCATCCAGCTCGAACTCACTATTATCCATGATACTTTTTCCGACTGTGGCGAGTCCCTCGTCAATGAACGGCTGGAGAACATCCCTCGCAGCAGTCTTCAGCTGTCCTGAGCTAATGGTCTTGTACGTACGGCCCAAGTAATCGGCTAGGGTGCTGAAAGGAAAAGATGTCCAGAAAGGGAAAAACAATCTACGGGCTTTGGTACAAAACCCATTTGGTGACTCGAAGTGTCTCTTAACGTCTTTTAAGGCCGGATGACCGGTCAGCTCACGGGGTAGTTTCTCAAATGACATATGGGAGCCCCTGAAGAGAGTTTGGAAATACCCGTGAAGGCCGAGTTCTTGAGAGCAGTATGCACCTACACTCAGTCTCACAGCGAGGGGATTACCTTGCGCAAGGTTTCCAAAATGCTCAGTGACAATAAGACTCTCCCAGTCTTTGGCCTGTGGAAGCTTTCCGGCCTTTTCAAGGATGGAAGTGCTCAGAGCTAAGGCGTGCGAACTGTCCAAAGGCAGCAGAGTATGGACGAGGCCCTGCCCGTCTCCTTCTAATGTGGGTAAGCGGGCCAATTGCCTTGCCGTAACGAGCGCAAATCTTCCGTAGGCGTTTCCTGCCGTAATGTCCTGGGCCTTCTGGAAGGCTGATAAGAACTTACTAAGAAACTCCATGTCGTTATCTGAGATTTTGTGTGGACCGCTTGATTCCGCGCCATCGAAAAGTATAAGCAGCCTCCCTGAGCGTTTCATGGTACGGCGCAGGCTGCGCGCGATCCTGGACACTGTGTTTGCATCTCCCCCGCCTGTTGTCTTGCCAGTAACTGGTAAGCCCAGCTGGAGTTCATGATTCAATACCTCAGCAAGGGAGGAGTCAGGGCTCAGAACGTCAAGATCAATCTTGATGAACTTGTCAATGAGATGTGTAGACATCCACCACAAGGCAGCACTTTCGGACAAGGCGGACTTGCCGATACCGGGCGGTCCTTGGATGCTCAGGACGCAAGAATCTAGTAACAGGGCCGTTTCAAGCATCAGCAGATCACATTCTCTTCCAACCAGGGACACGTCGAGATCTTCTCTAAGCTCATCGGCAGATGAGCTAGGAGAAGGGCTATGTTTCATTGTCACCAGATCAACCGCGTCCATGTAGATGGAGGCATAATCCTGGTGCACGTATATAGAAGGGAAGAGGTAGTCATCGACTGCAATCTTGGTTTGGTACTTGGTTCGTCTGGTCCGCTTGCTGACCAGGCACTGCCTCGCGGCTCGCATAGCGAGGAAAGGAGACATTTTCCGGCATAATAATTGCTCGTAGAAGTCACGAATAAAAACCTTGGCGGTTATGGTCGATGACTTTGTAAGCCATGGCCACGGCCGTCTTGACCCCGTGCTGGATTAAGGCCTTGGCAAGATTGGCCGCCGAGCCGTGCCCTTCGACCGCTGATTGACAGGCGTTGAGGACAACAGTTTGCACTCCATGGGAGCCAAGTAGCGCTGCAAGGTCTTGGGCGGAGACATTGTGTTGACCCGTGGAGCGCTTGACGAACTGGGCGTACGCTCTATGAAGGGGCTACAATTTAGCATCAAGAGGGGGTAAACGGGGGAAAGGAAACGAAGGCTAAAAATTGTGGAACGAACTGGTCGTTCTTGACGATCCCATGCAAGTCAAGATGCAGGATATCATATCTTCCACCATCGCGCTCCATCAAGTCCAGTCGCTCCTTTAATGCCTCCAGCGAACCGGCCTAACGATGTCGAACTTCAACTTCCGCCCCGGTTTTGAAGGCCCAAGCGGGCCTTGAGCATATGACCGAGAAGGACAACTATATCAAGGCCTCCAAAATTTCCGTTATCGGTATTGAGTATATTGGACTTGAGCGGCTACGATTCACCCGCGGGGCTGAGTTTGACAAGGCGGTACGTTGGGGTCCCCGAGGGCCGAATACGTTTGGCGCCGATGAGGATGAAGAGGATGAGGAGCCGACTGCAGACGGGGACATCGAGGTGATTAGCTCTCCAGCAATCAACATCCTGAGGGCAATGAGTTACGACGAATTAGAGCAGGAAAGCTATGGAGACTTCTGGTTCACATTTGATGCGGGTAGCGAGGATGACGACGATGAGGAAGATGAGGAATGGGATGAGTGATGAACTATCTCGTTTCTTGACAATTCTGCTTGTCTACCCAAGATGGTAAATTGATGTGTAGTAATTACTACCTGTCCTTCTTTGCTGTTTTGATACATGTCTCGGATAGCACGCGTTCCCGCCATCCTGCCAGACAAGCTCCGAGAAACGAGGATGGCTACGTACGATCATCTGTTCGCTTTCTCAATACTTATACCATTAACATCACAATGTCAGACCCAGCAATATGATCCGACTGGTACGGCATGAGGACGACAGCGCGGTATCTGAGCGCGCCTGAGGAGATTGTGGAGGATCTTACTACTGGACTGGCGGATTGAAGCAGACATAATAACTATAAAAATACTGTCCTGTAAGCCGTGTAGCTTGGTTATTTCTCGCCTTTTAAAGCGTGCATGTGGCCGACCTACTGTCCGTCCCAAAAAACCTCATAATCTTAAGCAGTTAAAAAAGCATAAAGGCACACTTAAGAAGCTGCTTAGGGAGCATACTTGCAGCCCTTCTACCCCCGTTAATACTGCGCATACACCGGTTCCTGCTTGGACATGATGCTGGATTTGATGGAATAGATGTATCATATAACTAATCCACCCAGGTGGACACTTTCTTTCCACCATCCACCACCAGGTCTGCACCAGTGATCAAACTCGCCTTTTCACCAGCCAGAAACACGCATGCCTCTGCAATCTCCTCAGGGTTACCCCACCTCTTAACTGGGATAGTGTTAATAATAGGGCTATAATTAGCTCCTCTTTTCTCTGACTCTGCCGATGCTGTCCAATTTAGCTTATCATATAAATTAAGAGCAGGCAGAGCTCAACTAACTGGCAGTCTTCACCCATCCCGGCAGAACGGCGTTTACTCGGATTCCATCCGCAGCGTAGGCAATAGCGTCAGTTTTGGTCATCCCAAGCACTCCGGCTTTAGTCGCTGAATACTTCGCTTCGTTAGTGCTGTTCCTGATGGCTGAAGAAGAAAATCCCTACTCCCCCAGAAGTTGGATGCGAAACCAGCGCAAAAAGTGAAGAAACATTCACGATGGCCCCACGCTGCGCAGGAGCGCCAGTTCTGTTTATCACGGGTATTAGAAGACACTCTTTGGAAGGAGGAAGGGGGCTTAACTAGCGGTACAAACCTGGGCCGAAGCTCTGCATTTTGCTTCATCATCTGCCGGATCTCGGCCCTCTGGCAGAGCCACGTGCCACGCAGATTTACTGCAACTAGTGGATCAAAGGAGGAAGTCTCCAGCATATGCGTCTTTGCACGGGGATTACTTGTGATTCCCACATTATTGACTGCGTAGTGGATTCCTCCGAAAGCAGAGACGCCTGCGTTAATAAAGTCCTGCACTTCGGACTCAGAAGAAATATCTACCCTTCTCACTATTGTTTGCACAGCAGGATTTATGGCTTGAAGCTCTTGCGACACGACATGAAGGTTCTCGTCGTCGATATCACCTAGTAGAAGTCGGGTGCAGCCTTCTTTGACAAACGTGTGGGAGATTGCGCGCCCAATTCCCGAGGCTGCACCGGTGACAAGAGCAACCCTGCTGTCCTTTAGCACAGGTCATCAGTCCTAGGATTTGGCTGTCTTGCCCTTTCATGTAGGTAAACGGACTGGCCATGGCGACGGGCTTGCAAATGTGGTCCGAATTCAATTTTCCAGCACTGTCCTGTCCAGGCTTTGCGGCTGCTCATATATCGGCTGCTGTTAGATATGCTTGACAGTTCCGGGATGCAATCCGGCGCATTCAACCTTGACATAAAGCAATATCCCGTAGGAGGCGGCATAAGGCTATAGATGGAAGCGGGATATCAGAGTATTTAGCCGCGTCGTCGTTTCTTTTTCCCCTTTGTTATCCCGAAACATGTTTTTCGGCTTTCCGGTCTATCCTCGTAATAATCGGCGCTTGAACTACAGATATAATATTTCGATAAATATGCAACTCGAAATCTCCAAGCGTTGTATCTAGGTCCAAGACATGCAGCAATAATGTGTTCAGGGTATCCAGAATATAGCAAGCGCGTCGTGGACTGCACTCTTCAGCCGAACCTCGCCAATATATTCGGAAAATCGTGGTCATTATAGGCGGTTAATATTTTCACACTATCTGTCGTCCATGTAACACAGTTGACACGGAGCAGGGGCTGGTGGCAGAGGTCTTCCCAACTACTGTGCGGTCGTGGGCTATTAGTCCTGGAATCTTTTCCTGTTTTATTAGCACCATTACCTACATGACTCCCGGTGCTTTGGCGTTTCAAAACATGTGAGTTAAGCGGCTTGCGCGCGCCCTTGAACCTGCATTACTGCAAACTAACAGATGTAAATAATACAATTTGTTCTACTTCGGGCTATGCATGGCCTCGGAACTTATCATATACTTTTCATACCGGAAACGAAGCAAAGTCCCATTCGAGGAACTTGGTGGACTGTTTGTAGACATAGTGGTCGTACGTCTGACTGCAGACGGACTCCCTTTGATTCCCAGTGGTTCGTGGTTCGCATGCATTGACTCCTAATACAAGGCCTGCACAGGAGTCAGACAACGAACAGGGCGAAGGATTGAGCATGCGGCGGGGTCTTGCTGGATACCGCACTGTCCTCGTAAGCAGTCGTCGGCATACTTGATCTGTAGAAAGCCGAGCATGCCTCCAGTCTCATTGACGCGTCCAATAGCAACGGCATTGCAAATGCCAGAAATGCCACTTGTAACACCCACTTTCTGGTTAGGACGGGGATCGGTGACCGCGCTTGATGGAATTGACTTTCTCTTCCTGGCTGGGGTGTGTGCCGGCAACCTTTGGCTGGCCACGACCCCAGATAGCGGTTACGGAGGTAGCAACGACAGCGGTGGATTAGGCATTCCATCATGTACACTTTCTGCGACCTTTTAAAAGGGAGCCTAGGCTGAGGCTTCCAGGTTCACTACTACAATTCTTCACCATTAGACATTCCATCCTCCTGGACTCACAATGGCAGCTCCATTGACCAAAAAGGTCTTCGCCATAACCGGTGCTACCTCTGGAATGGGCTTGGCTACGGCAAAACTCCTTCTTTCTCGTGGGGCCTTGCTTGGCCTTACCGACATTAACTCCAAGGGGTTGAAGCAATTCCAGGATTCGCTTGATCCATCGCAAAGAGCCCGCGTCATGACACAGCCTATTGATATTACCAATAGGGAGGGTGTGAAGTCATTTCTGGACAATACAAAAGCACAATTTGGTCATTTGAACGGCGTGGCTAACGTCGCTGGTACGTGTGGCAAATTGATGGGATCCCACCAGATTTGGCAGACTCCCGATGAGGAGTATGATCTGATCATGAACACCAACGTGCGCGGCGTGTTTAATTTCCTGCGGGAAGCGTTGAAGCCCGGGTATCTAGAACCGTCATCCAGCATTGTCAACGTTTCTAGTCTTTATGGTCTCAAGGGCGCCCCTATGTCAGGGCCATATTGTACAAGCAAGCATGCTATTATTGGATTGACCAAAGCTGCTGCTCAGGAGGCGGGAAAGAATGGTATCCGTGTTAACGCGGTGTGTCCGTGAGTTCACCTCGTCTCAATCTTTACCTGATCTGGCACCGAGCTCCCTGGGATGAAACTGATTCGGTCTTTGCACGCAGGGGTGCCGTGCTCACACCACTTATGCAATCGACTGCGGACCGCTTCGGCGGGAATCCAGTCATTAATACTCCACTACCCCGCGTGGGCGAGCCGTCAGAAGTCGCGTCGATTGTTGCGTTCCTTTTAGGCCCGGAGAGCACATTTGTAACGGGCGCGATCTGGCCTGTGGATGGGGGAGCAAGCGCTTGAGGTGTGGATTCTTATTAATTGATTGCATCCTTGTTGCATCGTGGGTGACGGAGCAGATGGCACTACGTATAGCATCAAACTCTGTGCTTCTTTATGTTTCTTTAGTGCTCTATGTCAAGCGGTTAAATGCTCGTTTGCTGCGCTGTATCATCCAATGATCTTCCACGCATCCAACAGCAGGTTGAGCTTAAAACCTGAGGAAAGGAGTAAGCAATGTTCATCAGGAATACCAATCGCTGCTGTAGGGTTGAACGGAGTCTGCATTGTGTTGACTTGGAAAGTTGGAGCGAATCTATTCTAACGCGGCGACCTACGTATTTAATCGGGATCTTGCTATCGATTAACACCCAGCTATTCGCTGCTCAGTCTTTTATTTCTGGCAAACAGCCTGTATGGATATTCGCATGTATCCTACATATGATCGTCCAGCCCTCAACGCACTGGCCTAGGTGCACGTACTACGCATCATATTGGTGCTAATGTGAGCTTCCTTCTTGCTGCAGGGTGAGAGAAGCGGACGCAGCAAGTAGTACTAGCCACAAAGGAGTGGCCATTCATGCAAGCTGGTTATTCTTCATAGGCCGATAAGCTCTTGGAACGTCCCATTTCGGATTCCCATCGCATACCACAAAAGGGGCACATGGCCCTTCTCGGATGTAGATCTAACGAGGACACAGCTGTTGCGTTGAAACTGCAGGTTATGCCCCTTCTGGACGGTAGCGCACTGGCATCTCACATGTGACGCGCATTGGGATATATACAAATCTTTCCTGAGGCAACTGACGATCACCCAGAGGTAATCTTAAGTGAATATCACTAGAGTAAGAGCCATATTAAGATACGCGGCGCCGATGGCGGATCTTGTTGACTCCTCGTTTGTCCAAGTTCCTTCTCCTAGATCCCACCACGTTATAAATGCCCTTTGGCACCTTTTCATACAGCTTCCCGCACCGGAGGACCTGGCTGTGTGTCCCCTACAACAGCCTGAAGCTGTCGTAATTGTTGCTGAGAGATTGCTGCATACTTGCAATGTTCCCTGATTGTAGGACCGTACTTGTAAAATAAGAATGGGAGTGGCATGCATAGGACGGAGATGAATGCGGGGATTGAAGAGGCCCAGTGTATGCCCAACCCTTCATACATGTATGTCGTAAAGAGTGGGAAGACGGCACCGAATAGATACCGCAATATTGACATGCCGGCTAGAGCCGAGGCTGCAAAAGATGTGTAGGAATCGATGAGATAGTTCACAATTCCTAGATATACCAGAATCAAGCCAAATCCGAATGGTACTAATGATGCGACGCTGGCCATCCAGTGAATAGACGGATAATTTGTCCATGCAAACCAGAACAGCCCGATGGGAATTGAGACGGCGGAGACCATGCATGGTGGGAGCCGCGCCTCAGGTGGAGCACGGCCATTGCATTGCTGCTCAACCTTAACAAACCGTTTATTATCATACAGAGTATAAAGGGCGCCGAGAAGGGTCCCCACCATAACACCGAGAAACGGGAGCCCGCCTACTCCGGGATTCCATCCGCGCTGCTCTTCGTAAACGATAGGAAAGGCTGCGAACAACATGTATAATGTGCCGTATATCACAGCAGCGTAGAAGGCAAGAAGTAGGACTATAGGCTCGCGGAGGAGCAGCGTCCAGGGGCGGAGGACTACCGCCTGAAAGCGACTGCGGACTGATATGTTTCCCCTAGTTATATCCAGCGTGCTTCGGTAGCAATCTCCAGTAATGGTGGATAGTGCTTTTGCACGTTTGCGAAGTAGCACCGGAGCATAAGTCTCGGGTACTGATAAAGCCATCACAATCCAGGCCAGGCCCAACGATGCAGCAAGCAGGCCCTGTACCCACCTCCATCCGGCGTTCATTCCTAGGAAACCACCGATCATTGGACCGAGGGCAGGACCTATACGACATTGTTAGCTGCGCTGTCAAGCCAAGTCATTTGTTGTGGTCGATTGGGCCGACTTGCCTAGATACGGGGTGGCCGCGAACAAGCATAATGCGAGTCCACGCTGTCCTGCAATAAACATGTCGGAAACCACTCCACCGGCGTTTGTCAAGGGCGATGACCCGATAGCACCAGCAAAAAAACGAAGAACTAGCAAAGTTTCGATATTCCTTGCCCCAGCGCACCCGGCCGTGAAGGAGGACAAGCAGAGAAAGGAAACAAAGAAGGGAATTTGGCGTCCAACTTGCTCGCTGAGAGGTGCCCATACTAAGGGGCCAACAGAAAATCCCAGGACAAACAGCGAGAGACCGAGAGTTGCGACAGTCTTGCTGACATGGAACTCTTCAATGACACCTTGGATGCTCCCAACATAGGCAGAAGAGGATAGAGAGACCATCAGTGTCGCAAAAGCCGTTGACAGAGTAATCATGACCTTCCACCGGATGGGGAAATTTATCGGATTGCGGGGATCGCGATCAAGCCAGCGAACAATGTATGGATCGCTTTCTGTCCCCGACCCTGCATAGTCGTGGTTCAACACCTCCTGCGTGAGCGCACTGTGGTCCAGCAGGAGGCGCCAAAACGACAGCGATTTAGGAACTTGCTGATGAGCCATGAGCGTTGAACAGTCACGAAAATGGAAGGACACTGACCAGGAGGTATTGTGATTGCAACGAAAAAGAGAAGAGACATTATGCTCCGTATAAACACGCCTGACCGGGTGAATCGGCAAGCGTCCCACTGTTCTGCAAATATATCTGCTATGCCGGAACATCATCCATTCCTTGTGCGCTCGCACATTTACATAATTTGAACAGGCACAGTTGAGCTTCCCTGTAGCCATAATGACTCGATCTCGGCTTTCGCTTTGCATGGCTCGGCATATTTAGCTCGGCATTTTTCTACGGTCGACAGCACAACAATTTTGCATATCATCGCCATGGTCATGGGGGACTAGTCGATTGGAAGACGCTCTGTAGGTTATAGGCACTTGGTGCGGGCGAGTACAAGAAATACTGAATTAAAATATGCACAACAGCCGCTCTTGCATCATCACGCCCTTAAAGACACCTTTGACCGGGTGTCTACTTGGACAACGCCTGAAAGCAGAAGGCCGATAATTTGGACAGCACGGAGGTCGTGTCTTCGTAGAGAGCTATGTGCCGTTTGCCTGGGAAAGGAATAGATCTTTTTGGTCGGCAACTGCCGTTTCAATGTGGTCCCCAGTATCAGACCCAGACTCCCAATCATAAGCTGCGGTCTGGGCGAAATCGAGACGTTAAAATGAAACGCGTCGAAATTGGCAAGAGGCTCCGCACTGAAGACAAGACATTGATTTATAAAGCGACGGTGTCGTCTACCACCGGGTGTACAGTAGTAGTCGAGGCCCTTTTTATATAGCAGCGGGCGCTGGTCCGGCGTCGTGGTTGCGATATTGGGTATCTATGGCAACTGCTCAAACCTTGAGCTTTGCACCCCAATGCGCTCGGGATCCACCTCAGGGAGGGCCGCGAGATATGTCCCGCAGCTTTAATGGCCACTACTGGCCGCGATGCGGATTTTCCAGACCATGTGGCTGAACCCAAGCTCTCATCCAGATATCCCGCATCGAATGCTACAGTAACAAAGCCCTGCTTGACAGGAAGAGATCTTAAAGCCCAGCTGATCGCCTTCTGACGGCGCTCGCAGGATGGTTGACATCAATGGCGACAGACTTTCTGTTCCAAGCAGAGGCTGTACGGATACCCAGATTGCTCGCATTGCGGACGGAGGGACTTGAGAAGCTGGCTGTCCGTTCGGCGAGCATAGCAAATCTCGCAGATCACCAATCTGAACTATTGATAGGGAGAAGGCATGGAGTAGGAGACGCCTCGACACACCACCTAGTGGGTCACCGCGATGGTTCGGCAGGGGCCATCTGTGTAAGAGAATGCGTCACCTGCTGACATTTCCCATCATGTATTTCCAGTTATCTCCGCTTGTGGTCAGCCTTGATACGCACGACGTGGTAGTACCACGGGGCTAGAACCCAAGACCGGAGTGGCGTCCCCCCATCAACTCCGAAAATTTTCGGAATCAGCACAAACTTAAATCAGTAACCCAAAGCTGATCCGAAATCGTGTGCGGATCGCCCCAGGTTCAATCCCCTCAATTCGTCCCCCCGGAACGATGCGAGCTGCGGAGGAGACCCTACTAACAGTGGAGCAGCCCCCGCCTTTCTTCCCCAGCTACCCTCATGGCGCATTGCGGGGAGACGGTTGGATGCTTGCTATCAATCGTCAGATCGCAGGGCTGGTCTCTAGCTCTATTTTCCTTCGTCTTCCACCGGTCGCTGTATGAATTCTCCGAGCAAGAAACCGTATCGAATATCCAATATCAATCGCTAACTTGAATCCGCGCACCATGGGGAGAAGAGTCAGGGCCTGTGTGCCGTGCCACGAGCGCAAGGTCCGATGCGACGCCGTGAAGGTGGGAACTCCATGTACGCGGTGCATTGACAACGGCCGCACCCAGGGGTGTGTCATGCTTAATGGGTAGGCGCCCCATCATGTCCGCGACGCATGAGCTGGAATTGTGTGACTGACAACTGTTTCAGTCACTCGAAACGGCGAAATCCCCAGGTGACTGCTGATACTGCCCCATTGCAGGGGGATGGCTCGAGTCAATGCTCAACTGATCGGCCGGCTGCGGTACCTCCTCCCGTTGACAATCCGTCCAGTTGTTAAATGTAGGGGGCTGATGAATGAGCCAACCGCTTGCAGTCATTATTGTTGTTTACCGACCGGCCCCAGGCGCAGTCGGACCGCCATAGTCCTTCTATCCTGTCCCCTATACAAGGTGGTCGTTCCCTCTCTGACGATTCTACGCTACACGTCCCGGGCCCTCGTGAGCCACCTCGCCATAACGACTCACACAGCAAGGACCACCCCCAGCTGCTGCAGGACGGGCAACACGCCTTTGGGCGACAAGAGTTCCAATTCATTTACGAGCAACCCCCTCTTACAGATCCGGATTCCGGACACGAACCCGACGATGTGTCGGCCCTGCACGACGGAACAAACTCCATGACAATCCTCACAGAGGCCCTGGGCTCTGCTACTTCCTGCCAAATTGCTTATAATTTGCCTGTTCACGGACATATGAGTGTGGCAGATGAAGAGTTTCTCCATCGAAAGGGCGCCTTCACGCTGCCGCAGCAACACATTTGGTATGGGGCTCAACTAACCCCCGGTAGTCGTTAGTCACAGTGCTAAATCTCCTCAGCGATCAACTGTTATGCCTATTCTTCGATAAGGTTTACATGTCAGTGCCAGTTATCGATCGCGTCATGTTCGTGCAGGACTACTGGCAGCAGACCCAGTCGATGTTTGTTCTGCAGGCAATTCTTGCGAGCGCCGTGCCACATGCAACGATTGATTTGCTCAATAAGGCTGGATTTTCAGACCACACAGCTGCACAGGAGGCGTTTTTCACAAGAGCAAAGCTCCTGCACGACCTGGATGCGGAACAGAGCCTACTGCCCCGTCTGCAGGGCTCCCTGATTCTCGCCGTCACCCATGTTTCACACTATATGCAACGCGATCATAGGTATTGGTTTTCAAATGCAACATCTATTGCGGCCAGGATGGGACTGCACAGAAATACCAGCCGCCAAAATACCGGTATATCTCCCAAGCTACTACGACGTTTATGGGCGGTAATCTATACGTGGGACGTTCTACTTGCTTTGAATGGGATGAATACAATGCGCCAGTTTCATACTATCGACTCCACCCCTCTACAACTGACGGAACTGGACTGGGAGGAAGACCCTGATCCCAAATTTAATAGCCTACTGCAGCCTGTCAGCAGTGAGGAGAAATTGTATTTGATAATGAGCTGCAAATTATCGCTGATAAGTATGAGCACTCCTTATTGCTTTCTTTGTATCTGCGCTAACCTGTGAACAAGTCAGCGAGTTCTGGGATATGATGCTCTATAACCCAGCGGACGTGTCATGCGAAAAGCTCGAAGCTGTCTTCTCCTCATGGCGCCAAGCATTCCCACCGGGGGTACAGGTAATCAGTATCAACGAATCGAGCACCGTTAACTCGTGGCATCTTACATTGGTTGCTCGAGGGTACGTCTGCCAATGTGTCTTGTATCGGATGGTGGCTCGGCGATTTGGATCTGGAGCAAAGTCTGCAAATGCAGGGCTCCATCGTCTGGCGAGCCAGAAATTGCGTGCAACACTATTTGAGCTCGACGCCACGATTGATCGAATCATGAATCAGAACTCGGGCCAGTTCAACACGTGGCTGTTGTGAGTTGTCCTTTCCCGTCCTCTTACACTGGGTTGTGTCGTCTGACTGTCTTTCTCAGCCACACGTGTATCTCCACAGCAATTGCACTGCACATCGAGCGATATATAGATCCTGCAACTAGCCCATTCGAAGGGGTGCTAGCTATTTTACGCATCCAGACAGAGCTGGAGTTTCTTCGCGAAATGGCTAAGTCGTGGTCATATATCGGCTCCTTTGTGACTATGTTTGAGGGCGTCATCAACACTATTGGGCTTCCGATACCTCTGCCAGACCAACGACTAGCAACCAATGATCCCTTACCGTCGCCCACGTCGTTGGAACGTTTGCAACTCCCAGGAAGGGGAGTTATGATGGATTCCAATTCTTGGCTCCCAAATACTGAGGCCTGCCCTCCCTTCGGCCTCCCCTCGGGCCCATTTAATGCAAATTCAATTCTGGACGAGCTATTCGACACAATTCCGCCGTCGCTGGATATTTAGAAAAGACTTTCATACCATATTCCTATACAGAAGAGGTGTCTGCTATATGCATATCCTCATTACCAGAACAGTGACCTGTAGCCCGGGTAGACAGTCAGCTACAACGTAGTTGGCGTATTGAATCTACCTGAAATGGGGACCAACTACATCAATGGCCGCTGCGTAACTAGTGCCACCTTCGAAATCTGTGGCCATAAAAGAATATTTGACATGGGATATGTCACCTCGGTGTGCATTGGCTGCCTGAACCAGCAAGGACGGTAGGGGTTATACTAGGTCGTAGAAGTTTGAATCAGTTTTCCAATACTTACATCCCGCATGCATGCACTAAATCATATTTCTAGGTTGTACTATACGTATTTCTAACCAAAGCCGGCGCTCCACGGCTTAGGCGGCTTTACTTTCGGCTAGATCTCGGCAGTCCTGGATCAGAGCCGTTCGGCGAGTTGGACGGCAGGCTCATATTTAGAGCTGGGGTGCTCCAGTCCGCGAAGAATAAACTGCACCTCACACAACTGGCCAGTCGGTTGCTGCTGCTAGTTGTATATCCACCATGGCCTCGCCGTTCGAGTGTCCAAACCTTACCATTGAACGGAATGGCAAGGTATATATCATTACTATGAGGATGGGGCCCGAGAACAGGTTGAACACCAAGTTTTGCCAGGAAATGATCAGTGCCTTCAATTGGATCCGCCAGACCATAGGCTCAAACTCAGAGGGGGCTGTCATTACAAGGGGGAAAGATGCCAAGTTCTTCTGTACAGTAAGGTGCCGGCTTAATTATATGTCGGACTGCGAACTAACCGCTGGGCTTATAGGGGCTTGATCTCGAGGAAGCAGAGAAGGACCCATTTTCCAACACCGATGGCTTCTATCCTGTACGTCATTGACTGCTCGTAACTCTGGCAACAGCTCGATCAGGCTGACAAAGACGTCTACCAGCTCTTGCACACAATCCTAGACTTCCCGTTTCCAACGATCGCTCTTGTCACAGGACATACATTTGGCGGAGGGTGCCCGCTCGCCTTTGCCCATGATTATCGCGTCATGAACAGCGAGAGAGGCTTCATTTGCATGCCTCCGGTTGACCTTGGCATGCACTTCTCGGGCATGGGCATACTCCCTCGATTGAAACTCCACCCGCAAGTCGCACGAAAGGTCTTGTTGGAGGGCCATCGCTTCACCGCAAAGGAGGCGATGACGGACGGGCTGGTTGATGCCATTGCACCCCCAGAGCGGATGTTGGATGCTGCCCTGGAACTCGCGAATAAATGGGCGCCAAAGGGGAAGGCTGGGTAAGTTCTCAAGAAACAGCATCCAACCCCGCTGAAATCAACCTGGCTGACAACCCTTTGCTGGTCAGTATCTACGGCCTTTTGAGATCGGAGCTATGGGGAGAAATGGCGAGGCAAGTACAGCAAATCAGCTATGTCCACAGCCGCCCAACATTCCTACCAGGAAAATCCAAAATTTGAACTGGCCAGGATAGTAGAGAAGATTGAAGCCAATGAGACGCAAGTAAATGCCGAGTCTGCAGTAACCAGTCTGGGAATAGTCTTCGGGGAAAAAAACAAGTAAAACAGTTTTACACAGAGTAACGTGCGAGTTAGATCAAAATCCCGTCTGCTCCGAAAAACATCGGAGTCTAGTGAGGCGCAAATTCCCCGCACTCTCCACACTGAGGGAGAGAGTCTTCTTCCAAATCTTTAGGTCCGCATGAGACGGCACCCGGGGAGTAACATGCAATATCCAATGAATGCATCATGGATGCAGAGCAGTTCCTTCAAGCTTATGTCTTATGCCCACGAAGCGCAGGCTTCCAAGCCCAATAAGCGGACGGGAGAGGTGTGCGTACGGTGGCACGACAAGAAGGTCAGTTTCCTGGGACGGCGACACCTATCGGCTACCTCCGGAGAAGACTAAGGTAGATGCAGATCCGGTGTGATGATCACCTTCGAACTGGCGCTGCGCGGCGATGTCGCAACCGTACGCAGACAGGGTCGGCCTGTTGGTAAGCCGGCTCTTGGTCAACCACGCAACAAACCCATCGCAGCTCCAAACGATAATTCCTGGATAGCACATACTGCAGTATGGGGCATACAAAAGTGGCAAAGGGAAAGAATTGTCCCAGTGACAACAATCAGGACCACTTTTTCATTCATAAAAGATGCATTGACCTTCTCTGGGACTAAGCTCCGGCCGCTACTAGTTGCCCGCTCTGCGCCGGAAGTAAACTATCAGCGCGCAAAGATCTGGATATATGGGAAATGCGAATCCAACCCACTACTGCGGAGGTCATGATATTATGGTGGGGAAGCCTGGGATACCCAAATGTTGCAGCCCTGGTGTTGCCATTCATCCGGCGGAGGAAATCAGCTTGCATCAAGCATCAATCGAGGTTAACTCGTACCTCGCCGATTCCCGGGTTTACGGAATGAGCATGGTGGACACTCCTCGTAAGAGTATGGAAGCCTCACCTGGGGCTACTGCTGATGTTAAAGAAGACCTGCGATTGGATCTTCTGCATTGCCCACGCTCACCCTTGTCTCGTTCATTCTGATTCCTGCAACGCGGCCAAAGCTCTGGTATTTTCGCAATGTATTCAGGCGACAGAAGATGTAAAAACTTTCAAGATAGTACTGACAAGTCTGCCTCCGTGTTCGTATCCAGGGAAGCTAGTTAGCCATAGGATAGATAATTTACTAAACAAGAGAGAGGGTCCGATGGTGATTGACGCCCCGGGCCCAGTTAGCAGTCCGACGCCAGGCCACCTCTTGCTGCCAGTGACGGCGGTATCCGTGGATAGTGGCGCACATTGGATGGAGCATTTTCCTAGTAGTTTCCCTTATACTAGCCCGCTGATAACAGCACCTTTGTCCGACAGAGAATGGGGAGTAAATGAGCACTCAACCTCCAGAGCAACCAAGGTGTCCTGGTGTGTCCTCCCTTGCAGGGTATTGTATTTGAATCCCTAAATACGCTATATGTTCCTTGGGGTTTCCAAACAACAGCCTCGACTATGAAGGCGACACATGAAGTCGGCATCAAGAAATACCTATAGCGGATTGAATGTGCACAAACAGGGGCAATTTCCGCCTGACAGCGATACTCGGCCTGTGCAGCAGGTAATTCTGCCAAGAATATAGCTTCGTTTGATAAGCATAATTCATTCCGCCAAACGGCGGCTGATGAGACATACCAGCTTTTGAACCCTCTAGTGGAATAGACGACCCCTAACCGTTGCTCCTGGCCGATATAATCGCTTCCCTGCCTGAATAGCAGTGCCGTTCATCCAGGATTTTCTAGAAGGTCATTGTGCTTACGCCTAGTACAAAATGCCGAAGCGGCATTCTGACAAATTCCGGCTCTCACCGTAGAGAAACCGGCTTTTGTGCTGCAACACCGTTCCCCCGGTTGGGGAGCCTTTATCCACAGCCACGGCATCGGGAAAAGACTGACACACGCACCACAATGAAGTAACTGGGAACCTGTTGTATATTATGACCATACTGACAGGCCATTGATGGACTCAAGGAGCTGTCAGACAAGTCATCGTTTTTCACTACCTCCCTGTGTCGTGTCTTAGTTGCCGTACTCGAACCCTACAATGCCTTCCTCCACCCCCGCAAGTAACCCCGTCTTTGAGGCACTGGGATTATCTGGTGTGACAAAGCTCGGAGGCAACACTGAAGGCCCGCATCCCTCTTCTCGGGAGCGACCTGTCCACCGTCCAGAATGGGACATCCCATCCAGTCGTGGCTATGTCCCTGCAGACACGATGATCAACGAGCCTCTCCCTGACAAGCCCTTCAAGATCATCTTCTTGGGCGCTGGCGCAGCTGGCATTGACTTCCTGCACTGGGCCCCCAGGGAATTGAAGGACTTGAACGTCGAGATTGTATGTTATGAGAAGAATGGTGACGTTGGGGGGACGTGGCTGGAGAATCGCTATCCTGGATGTGCTTGCGATGTTCCCAGTATCTCATACAGCTTCCCGTGGAAGTCTAATCCCCAGTGGTCCCATTTCTACTCATCCTCCCAAGAAATCCATCGCTACATGCGGAATATTGTTGATGAAGAAGGAATGATGTCATACATCCACCTACGCCATCAAGTCATTGGAGCCAAGTGGATTGAAGAAACGAGCAAGTGGACCGTGACAATCCGGAAACTCGATGAGACAGACAACGAAGGCCAGGCCGTTGAGGTCGTAGATGAGTGCGATGTGCTGCTGAACGGTGGTGGCTTCTTGAAGTACGTTATTTCTAAACAATCAAAAGAAAGACAGAAATGAGATGTATTGCGCGAATGGCCACTAATCATATCACAGTGCCTGGAAATGGCCTGATATTCCAGGATTGCACTCCTTCAAGGGAGACCTGTTCCACTCGGCAACCTACAAGGACGACTACGACCTGAGTGGTAAGCGGCTGGCGGTGATTGGAAACGGGAGCTCTGGCATCCAGGTGGTTGCAGAGGCTTATAAGCACGTTTCAAAGCTGTATACGTGGATACGCAGCCCGACATGGATCCTTGCCGCCATTGGCCAAAGAAAGGGGAGTAAAGAAGGGCAAAACTTTGAGTGTATTCTTCCTTTCCCGGATTGTTCCTTGCGTCTGTTCTCAGACTCTAACTGATTTCCCTTGCAACCCTATAGACACGGAGGCCCAAAAGGCTGAATTTGCGAGAGACCCAGAGAAGTATCATCGGTATCACAAAACAGTCGAAAATAGCCTGAATGGCAGATTCAGGACTCTCCTGCGAGACACGGCAGAGTCAGATGAAGTTAATGCGGTAGGAATTAGCCCCGCAGTCTCAGTGACAGCATCATGATCTAACCAATATTTACCCAGCTGGCGTTGCTTGAGATGCAAGGCAAATTGAAGGACCGCCCCGATATACTGGAGATGCTACAGCCGAAGAACTTTAGTGTTAACTGCCGCCGTCCAACACCAGGGAGTGGGTATCTCGAGGCCCTTGTCGGTGAAAAGACGACAGTACTTCCTGGCAGCATCTCTGCAATCACTGAGCGCGGTGTAGTGGACATCAACGGCAAAGACCACGAAGTGGACGTCATTATCTGTGCAACTGGATTCGACACGTCGTTCCGCCCTCGTTTCCCTATTACCGGTCTTGACCCGAATCTCACTCTCGCTAATAAGTGGGCCACATTTCCCTCCAGTTATCTGGGAGTAAGCGTGGATGGATTCCCAAATTATTTCACCTACGGCGGCCCCTTCACCCCAGTGGCTCAAGGGACAGTCCTGCCTATCTTGACTCTCCTGACAAAACATTTCCTTGAGATTATCAAGACTATGCGCACGCAACATATTCGACGTCTGAGCCCTAGGGCGTCGGCTGTTGAAGACTTTGCCGAACATGCAGAGGCTTACTTACCACGTACTACCTGGGCTGATCCATGCAATAGCTGGTATAAAATGGGCACGGGAGACGCGAAGAAACTTGTTATGTGGCCAGGATCTCGCCTTTCTTACTTTGAGGTTCTCCGCCATCCTATGCTTCAGGACTATGAAATTGAATATTGGAGCAAGAATCGCTGGGGTTACATGGGCAATGGGTTTGTCGATTGGGAGTTTAAGGGGACAAAGGATCTTACCTGGTATCTGGACGAATTCTCAGACCATCCTGAATTTACCAAAGGTGTGCCTTTGAAGGATCCACTCGAGTTCGTTGGTCTAGCCGACGGACGTGTGCCATGACGGGTTCCTTAGCAAAGAAAGATGGAGAACAGTTATGTATATAGATGCCGTGCTTTACCGCGAGAAATCCAAGCAAACTGTTCGTACATTCTTTCTCTAGGTGAGATGCGGCCGATGCCGGATGAGCTACCCGTAATCAAAACGATTTAATTTTTCAAAATATCATGGTGCTGTGAGGCCTGAAGAATTCCGACATGTAAGAGTATGTCTTGCACAAAATCTGGTGCAGAGGTTGGCTGTATAGCTGACAGTGTCGTTCTCTTAATGGGGGCTTCCACCTAATCAATCTCTACATTCCCCGAAACGCCGGGATTCAAAATCCGGGCCACCAAAAATGCGGAAAAGATGAGGGAGAACGAGGTGATTTGGATTACTGGGTGTGATATTATCGCCGTATACCGGTTTTCCGACGATTGCTTAGGCCATGCATGGGCTGGGCATTGTCAGGCTACCGAGGGTTATGATGAAGGGATCGCTGCCCAACCAAAATTGAAAGTGTGATGCCGCGGGTCATGGCATAAATACGTGCTTGGTCCCTGTTACAGATCGTGATGTTCATCGATAGAATTACAGTCTCCTCAAGTAACGCAAAATGTCTACCGGTGGCCTGGCGAGTGGCGTTATTTTCCTTCGTCCACAAGAAGGCAAGACAGAAAAGGTGAGGGTCTACACAAACACTTGAGACGTTCTTATGCTCTCTTCCTCAACGACCGCGAGAGATTGGTGCTGATGCAGTGAATTAGCTTAAAGCGTTTTTGGAGAAAAACCTGAGCGACATCCGCGAAAATGTCGACGGGGTTCTGGTTGCCTTTTACTTTTGGTCCGCGCGGAAAAATCAGTTCGTCGTGGTCGAAAGGTGAGCAAACAGTAGCTTGTGCGTCAAGGAGACCAGAGCGAGAATTGACGGAATTGCGAAGCTTCGAAAGCACTGAAGCAATGTTTGCCTACGGTAACAGCAAGTATCACGAAGATCTAGTCAGCAAAGTCATTGAGCTTGGAGTAACTCCGTTCGAGGCGTTTACGAGCCAGGATGACCAGCAGGAGCTTGAGGATTTCCGGAATACCGAGCAGGCGATACATTTCGCACTGTAGAATACTTTATTAGTGCCATAGTAGTCATCAAAAATTTACCTGCTCCTTGCGTTCTGATACTGGTGCCAACAAATCAGAACTTTTTCGCATGGCTGGTGACAGTCCAAAGGACTTCCAACCCCCATTGATTCGCCAACATCCGCCATGACTGCAGTGGCTTTTCGGAATATGAAAGATTGCCGAAAACCCGGCCTGTATCTGGACCGACTCCAGTGCATCATGGCCCGGATCTGAAGCACCGCCCTCGTTTTATGCCGATCCTGGGATTCAAGAATCTGGTGGTCGGGGATAGCGTTCCTAGTAAAACAAAGCCCGCATGCCGTATTTTAGGGCTCATGTTCCGTTCAGTCTTCAATCGGGAGATTGTTCTATATCACCATCCTCACACAAGCCATGGTAGACCCAAGTACAGCACGCAATTATTCTCCTTCCCGCAATAGGCCGCGCGTTAAGCGCGCCGCTATCGCCTGCGAACACTGCCATCAGCGTAAGACTCGCTGTGATGTGATGCATGGGGTTCCCTGCACAAATTGTCGTCTCGATAAAGTCCACTGTACCAAGCGGCCCCCTAGAAATGCAACTGGGCGCAACCCACGAGGCAAATCTCAGAGACAGGCCTGTGACGGGCCAGCACATCTTGCTTATGGATTATCTCCCAGTGGTGAGCAGGTGTCAGAGACATCTGCGGTCCTTCCTGCCGGCCCATCTGCCCTAACGAGCGCCTTAACGGTGAACATCAATCGGCTACCTGTTGCCTATTACGCATTTGTGGACCTGTCGCCAATCGGCCACCTTCCGGAAAACGAAGTGCTCTTCTTGGAATCTCAAGGATGTCTCCACTTGCCCAGCCGGCCGGTCGTGGAAACCCTGCTCTCACACTATTTTCTCTATGTCCATCCTACTCTTCCGCTTGTCGACGAGAGCTGGATGTGGCTTGTGTATCGCCAGGCGGATCAGCACAAGGGAGAATTACCTCTCCTCTTGTTCCATTCCATGCTTTTTGCCGCTGTACCTTTCGTTCCAGAGTACGTCGCAAAGGAATGTGGCTTTCCTTCATTACTGACCGCACGCGACGACTTTTACCGCAAAGCCAATGTAAGTGAAACCATGATAACTACTCGGCCGACAGTTCATAACGAGACCCAGATGCTGTACACACATATGCCGGACAGTGACCATATCACCATTAGCCAGTCGGCCCTCCTGTTGAGCTACTACAACACAAGCAGTGACGCAATGTGCAACTCTACCTGGTTGTCCGTCGCGATCGAGCACGCCAAGGCCGAGAGTGCCCACCGGTACGATGAATTAGGCACTGTCACCGACAAAAGCCGAGTGATGCTGAAACGTCTGTGGTGGTGCTGCGTCCTGAGGGACCGGATTATCTCTCTGGGAATGCGTCGAACCTTGCAAATCAGCCCTGATCAATTTAACACAGTCGGGGCGGCCATCAGCCTGACGGACATGCAGGACGAGTTGGGCGGCTCCGAAGTCTACCAGGCGGATACGAAGCTCGCTCTGACCTGGGCACTCATTCGACTCTGCCACTTTGCCAGCGCTGTCACCGATCTCTTATGCATCCTTTACCCTTCATTTCCTGACTCGGAGTGGGGCTGGAACTATACCCCGGAGGCGCACTGGGAGAGCCTACAACACGCGTCGTCTAGTCTTTCTGCATGGGAGGCTGATTTTGTGCACAGAGTAGACAATGATGCCGTTTTTCAACGCGAGCCTTCAACTTCTTTCTTCAAGAAACTGACTAATGTCTATCACCAGTAAGTTGCTTGTACACCTTTTTTTTGTCCCTGCTTCCCTGACGAACAATCAAGGGCAGCCCGCATTGCATTATGCAATCATGCTTGTCAACTGGCTGCTCAATTTGAACGGCCACAGACAATTATTGACCTCGGTCACTACAAGTCCGAACTGCTGGATGCTGTTAGTACTATGACCGACCAGCTGCGGCAGTTGATCGCGGCCAATATGGCCAAATACCTACCAGTGAGCACGTATGATCTCGTCCAGACAGCCCATATTCAATACCTCGATCTCCTTGTTCATCGTCCTGATTAATGTCTGCCCGCTAGCTAATAAGAGTCTTCTTAGCATGGCATATACTGTACTGCCGCTAATATTATTGGGACTAAACCTCAGCCTGTCCTCAACGCCAATGGCTCGACATCGAAATGCTCAACAACTCTCGCTGTTTGCCGAAGTTAATCGGCTATACAGTCGCAAGTATGATGTAGCCCGGCTCTGTATGATGGTGGATAGAGCTGTCCAATTCGCAAAGCCAAATATTTTGAAACTCGGGCAACCTACGAAGAGGGTGGGACAGGTAGTCTCTTTCGTGGATATGTTTGACCAGGAGCCAGACAGCTACGTTGGCTTATGTCTCTACTTGGATAGTTTACTCTCTGGACAAGCCAGAGTCGGACAGGTCCGACCTCAGCGTCTGGGCAACATGATGTCGCACCAGCCACAGGCACTCCCACCATCTCGAGAATCCACTCAAAGCGTTGCAGTAGAGGAGCCAGACTCGAAGCCAGACCCGAAGCCAACACCGATAAATCCCCACGACCATTTCCACAACGTACCATTGTCATCTGTGTTACTCACGTTACATCTCAACCAATCTCTTTCAGGGATGCTGCAGGGTTTAGAGTCTGACACAAATGAATCAACGGGACCTGTGGCCGGTTATGTCAACGACACAATGATGGATGAAAATATTCAACCAGAGGTCATGCTGGACCAGTCGCAGGGCGACTGTCCTGAGGATAGCCATTTCCTAAATCTTTTGGCAATTCTGGGAGAATAACACTGCGGACTGCTAGTTCGTGGCTTACCTAGGGATGTATAACAATGATGATCACGTTTCTCACTTGGCGAATAATAATATTAGCTCACTGAGGCGATTCTCTCTATAACCTTGGGCTTCTTTCTTCAATCAGGTCAATAGTGTCACCCGACGTATAATGATAACGTACTTTCTTACTCCGGACAAAGTCTGCCTGGTCGGGAGTAACGTATCGAGCCTCCACGGCTGGGTTGTAACCAACACCACTGTGCCTGGCTATGTCCGCTGCGCTCATGTAACTATCCGTATTTCTCTTGCCATCCGCGCGCTTATAAACCGTTAACATGATTCCTCCTCCCCTTATTTATGAACTGGCCGACTGGCTTTGGACGAGCGAGCACATATCCGAGGCATCGTGTCGGTATCTAAGAAGATGCACCGAGGCAGCGATGTTAACCCTGGTCCATCGGTTGAATGTTCAACATGCGCCACCGCGCTGTACGCCCGAAGGCTCACAGGCGACACATTCCGACTAGGGCCACGGCAGAATTACTTTCCAGCAGCTGTTTCCTACTTCTCCGACTTCCTAACTCACAGGACCAGGATGAAGGGTGGAGGTAAATAATTGCGAAGAACGGAAAGCGTAAGGCCCATGACACCAAGTATGGCGTTAACTGAATGAGGCTATGAGTTCGGTTTATGGGTTCTTCGGCTTTGGTGCGGGTTTGACTCCGGCGACTGTGAAGGAAACAAAAGTCGACCGCGATGTCCCTCTCCCATCCATTGCCGCCCACGCCAGGCCAGACTTTACTGCATCCGACGCACAAGATGTCTCTTCGTTATGATCCCGAGTTTGAAGCTGCGGCAGGCCCAACCCTCGTGCAATATGCAGCATCAGGGTCACCGGCTCTTTACGACGTTCAGGCACGACGAAATCGTCTCCAACAGGCATTGAAAAAGGATGCCAAATGTCGAATTCCAGAGGCTTTGGAGAGGATCGTTCACCACGCGCCATCTTCTGACGGCCACTTGGTCGAAATTTACCACGTCCGCAAACGGGAGAACTCAGCCGCAGGGCCTCATCCGGCTATTCTTCACATCCATGGGGGTGGCTACTTTAGCTTCAGTGCTGCTCAAAGTGTCCAGAGCATGGTCGATTATGTGTCTCAAAGTGGTGTGCAGATGCTGTCTGTGGAATATCGCCTCGCGCCGGAGCATCCGTTCCCAACTCCTCTAGAGGACTGCTGGGCGGCCCTGACCTGGGTTTATTCGAATGCTGAGCATCTGAATATCGATACGAAGCGTATTGGGGTAATGGGTGAGAGTGCTGGAGGAGGTCTTGCTGCCAATCTTGCCCTGCTCGCTCGCGACAGGGTATTGTCGCCGCCGTTGGCCAAACAAATCTTAATCTACCCTATGCTTGATGATCGTACTGCTACCGACAATACAAATGGCCTGGCCTTTTTTGATGTCAGCGACTGCATTACCGGTTGGGCCGCATACCTCGGAAAAGACGTCGTTGGCACTGATCGCGTCCCCAAGTACGCTGCTGCGGCGCGGAATCTGGACGTCCGTGGCCTGCCCGAATTATACCTGGATTGTCCACAGCTGGATATCCTGCTGACCGAGAATATACATTACCTGGTCCAATTTGTCGAGGCAAAGATTCCCACGGAGTTCCACATGTACCCTGGCCTACCGCATGGGTTTACAAGCTTGGCTCCCGGGGCTTCTTTCTCCCAGCGCGCCATCCAAAATCGTGTCCGTGCCATGCTGAATTTTTAGTGCGCATAGGTTGGCAACTTCTCTGGTAACTATTTGTGCCGGGGAAACAGAGAGACAGAGTGATAGAAACATCTACAGTCAATTATTTTTCAGTGACGAAATATACAATCAAAACAAATTCTTCTACGAGGCATTCGATCTCTTCTTTAAGCCGATTGTCTACATAGCATGTCTACAACTTGGGTCTGCCTGTACTCTTAGCAATCGACTTGTCCATGTCCCTGAGAACCTTGCGCAGAATCTTCCCAGAGGGGTTCTTAGGAATAGAGTCCACAAAGACAACACCTCCTGTCACTCTCTTGATGCGCGAGACCCGGCTGTTGAGGAAATTCGCAATCTCCTCCGGCGCGGCCTCCTTTCCTGCTTGTAGGACGACATACGCCCGCGGCTGCTCATCGTTTCCGCTGCCCGATATGTCAGACCTGGAGAATCACGGTAAAGGGGATGCGAAGCACATACTGTGGAATGCCTATCACTGCGACGTCCGCAACATCTGGATGTTCGATCAGCAGGCCCTCTAACTCTGCTGGAGCGACCTGATTCCCCTTGACTTTGATCAACTCCTAGCCATGGTGTGGTCAGCATTGTCTGATTTGCGCTGGTTATATGAGCTCACCTTCTTCCTATCAACGATATGCCACTTATTATCATCGTCAATATAGGCCACATCGCCCGTTTTCAGCCATCCATCCGAAGTTAGGCATTCCTCCGTAGCCTTCTTGTTGCGCCAATACCCCTTCATCACGTTTAAGCCTCGTACCCCAAAGTTCACCTGGCTGGTTCCGTCCTAACTCAGTGACTCCATCGTCTGCCACAACTCGTGCTTCACAATTAGGAACTAATTCACCGACAGATGCGTCCTCAGATCGTTCCAAGGGATGCCAGGCGGTAACTATTGATGTAGTCCTAGTCGTTTCCATTAGCTAAAGGCTATTGAATAGTCGTGAGGGAACAAGGGAACGGTTCATACTCAGTCATTCCCCAGCCTTGCTTGATATTGACTTGACGATTTGGCCACAGGCGTTCCGCCTCATCACAGGGTTCTTTCCCCAATGGTGCAGCACCACAGAAGATGGTTTCGATGCTCGATAGATCGTACTGTCTTGTTTGAGGATCCTTGGCCATTCGAATCACGATTGGTGGGACCAGAGTTAGGTCCGTGATACGGAACCGCTCGATTGTACGGAGAAATTTGGCGAAATCATACTTCGTCATCAGGTACACGGGTATACCACGAGTGATTGCAATGCCAATGAACATATTCTGTCCCATTGCGTGGTACATTGGCAATGGACAGAGCCATCGACTCCTCGAAGCTTTTTCCTTGTACCCTGGATCTAGCTGTGCGAGGTAGTTGAATTGCAGAATGTTGGCGATAACGTTCTTGTGGCTCACCTCCACACCTTTTGGGACGCCTGTCGTCCCACTCGAGTAATTCAGAGCCAGGGTCCGGGAAGACAGGTGCGGGGTGGATAGCTCATCCCAATGGAAGCTATTGCCTTCCTCTTTGTCAGCCACCAACTCGCCCCAGTATCGGCAGCCCACCGAGCGAAAATCCGTACGGTAGTCCTTGTGACTGAATCCTCTTGCATGCTGGAACAGGGCCTCGTTGAATACAAAAATGCAGTTTGGGCTGAGGCCGCCAAGCTTCACACCAGCAATAGCTGTTTCGATGCTTGTCTCCGCACAGAGAACGACCACGGCTCCGCTGTCCTTTACTTGGTACCCCAGCTCCCGCGCAATATAAGCCGGATTGGCGCTGGTGAAAATAGCACCTGCCATCAAGATACCCATGTAAAGCACAGGAAATGCAATACTGTTCCCTGAAAAGACCAAAACGCGATCTCCTGTCTTGACTCCCAACTTTCGCAGACCAGCAGCGACCCGCTGGCTCCAGAGGCGGAATTCATGGGTGGTCAGGTAGAGAGTGTCCGGTTCATCGACATCGATAAAACACTTGTTTGTCTTTGAAAGAGGATGGCTAGGTGATTGGAAAAGCAACGTAGCAAGATGGACATCTGGGATGCTCGTTTCCCATCGGGAGCTGAATACCATTGTGAGGGGATAATCGAGCAAAGATGTTCCTTAACCGCAGGTCTCGAAGTGAGTCTGAAGTGGTCATTGAGTATTGGATTTATTTGTAAAGCTCAACCCGCCTTACAGTCAGGCTCGGCAAGCAACCGGGATAAGCGCCCGTCTGGGGAAAAGTTGAGGGGTTGTGGAGGCAGAAATGCCGAGCGACATTGAATAAGCCGAGTCTCGTTTTACGGGATATAAGATGTTGTCCAGCTAGGTTAATTCACGAGCCTCAAAATGCACTGGGAAAGGGACGTCAGAGACTCCGTTTAGCTGCAGTTACCTTACCTATGCATTAAACTGACCCTAAGTTCCCTCCTTCCACCCCTGATACCAATCGCTTCCTACGCGAATAGTGGAAGCTGCTTGGCTAGTGGCTCACTTGCCAGGCAGGCTGATGTAGTCTCAGTGACTGTGAGCCACTTCTGCGGTGCAAGTCACTTCAAAGAAAGTTGGCCCTCGACGTAAGCCGTGCCTCGGAGTGGGACGGCCCCCGGTTCAGAACGGGGTTGTTCTGTGGAACCGCAGAGACCGAATGCCGACGGTCTGTCCACTCGTCTGTAAAATAAATAGTCGTGGTCAGTGTCTGCAATCTGCGGAGAATGACTGAAAGGATCCGAATTGTTCAACATGTCCGATTTCGCAGACTGGTTGAAGCCCAGAGAGCCTAGTGGTCCGACCATCCTAGCCAGGGAGCGCGCCCAGTCCGGCATCTCCGTCGGTGAGCTGTCACGCGCGCTGTTCGCTGGCGATGACTATCTGGAGCGACAGGCCCGAATTCTTCCGATTCTAGAGGCTGAGCCTCTCTTTGATAAGAAACAGCAAGCCAACTTATCGCGACCGGATCTATACAAGCTTGCCCTAGCGCGGGCCAAGTTGCTGCGAAGACTCGTTGACAAACATGGCTGGGATATCAACGACTACAAGCTGGCAGAAACGCTGGTTGACGACGTCTCCCCTTATTATTTGCACATGCACATGTTTGTTACCACGATTCGCGAGCAAGCCAGTGACGCCCAACAGGCTCACCTTATGCCGTTGATCGAAAGCTTCAAGATCATTGGTGCCTACGCGCAGACAGAGCTGGGCCACGGGAGCAATGTGCAGGGTATAGAGCTTGAAGCGCGCTGGGATCCGCTGTCAAAGGAGTTCATCCTGCACAGCCCGACCCTGACAGCAAGCAAGTGGTGGAATGGATCCCTCGGCCGCACGGCCAATTATGCCATCGTTGTGGCCCAACTGCTACTACCCAAGCCAGACGCAAGAACGGGTGGCCACACGGAATATGTCTCACACGGGCCTCATCCATTTGTCGTGCAGGTCAGAGACTTGAAAACGCACCAGCCACCAAAAGGTGTGGTTATAGGCGACATCGGCCCAAAGTTCGGATACGGCACCATTGACAATGCTTATATGCTCTTCGACAACTTCAGGTGCAGTAGCCCAGCCAGATTGCAGGGCGAGCCAAGCTAATGCTCTGGAATAGAATCCCTCACTCCGCGTTTCTGTCTCGTTACGCCAAGGTTGACCCAGAAACTGGCGCCTATTCCAAGCCTGCGATCCCGGCTGTGGTGTACGGCACCATGACCTATGTTCGATCCCTTATTGTCCATCAGTCACGACTTAGTTTGGCTCGAGCTGTGACAATCGCTGTTCGCTATACCACTATTCGCCGACAATTCAGGGACCGGGACAATACAGACGGACCTGAAGTTGCAGTGTTGGACTATCCCACTGTCCAAATCCGCATTCTCCCGCTTCTTGCAGCGACCTACGCGCTCCACTACACTGGTCTAGCAATGCAGAAAAAATATAGCGACGCTCGCAAGGAAATTGAAAAGGGGGACTTCAGCAGCCTCGCCCACATGCACAGCATGTCCTCAGGGTTGAAAAGCCTCTGTACTAACATTGTTGCTGATGGCATTGAAACGTGCCGACGTGCGCTGGGAGGTCACGGCTATGGAGGGGCCAGTGGGTTCACTCGCTTGTATCCTGACTATCTGTCGAGGGTGACTGTAGAGGGCGACAATTGGATGATCACGCAGCAGGTCGCGTCGTATCTCATTAAACGAATGACGGAGGCTGCGTCGGGGAAGCCCGGATCCGATGCATCACACTTGGAGATCTTGCACGCCCAAGCTAGTGGGCGAACACTGCACCCGTACAACATCTTGGACTCCGATACTGCCCTCGTGAAAGCTTTTCGCCGAAGAGCCAGCTTCCAGGTATATAATTCCAACCGTTGTTACTTACCTCCAAGGCACTAAAACACCCTCTAGGTGTACGGCATTTACGTGAACCGAGTGCTGAGGAAGACACCGTGGACCAGTCTCATGATTCAGCTCAACAAGGCCAGCCACGGTAGGTCTGGTAATCAGGTCCGCTCCCTAAGTGTGTGGCTAATGGAATCTAGCGCAATCGATGGCCATGATCGTGGAGTTATTCTACGAGGCTGTAGCGAGGAATGAAGGGTTGTCTCCCACCATCCGAGCAGCTCTTTTGGACCTTTATCGCCTCTTCGCATGTTACTATCTGGAGCTTGAAGGCAATGACTGTGAGTATTATCGAGTATTTTAGAATGCTGCGCTCCCAGCGTCTCTAATTCGCATTGTCTAGTTATCCGCGCCGGGGCCGTCTCGCAGAGTGAGCTCAACGCCCTGCCCGCCCACATCCAGCAGTTGATGGCCAAGATCCGACCCCATGCGGTCAACTTAGTTGACGCCTGGATGATTCCAGATTATCTTCTCGACAGGTGAGCTTGCAAACGTGGAACCTATTCGGGTGCAGGCTAATCGGACTCAGTGCCCTCGGCCGATACGATGGCAAAGTGTACGAGGAGCTCTTCCACAGGGCACACAGGCTCAACCCGCTGAATAAGATAACATTTAATCCGAATTATTGGGAGGATGAGATTGTGAAGGGCACTGGAGACAACTGGTCATCTATCCTAGCCAAACTGTAGCTAGGGGCTTCTGTATTGATATATTTATGAGCAGTGCTTCACCAATGCGAAAATAATGTGATAAGCCACACTCTATAAACTCGTCCTATAACCCATGTAGAAGTGATACATTACTCGGTCCCTAACCCCAGAGGGATAGCTGTGTCCTCCGATTCCATTGACTGGTAATTCAATAAGATCATTGACACTTTTAGGAAGCTGCATGGCATCACAAATATGGTTGGCATTCGACAAGTCATTGGTGCCTGGCAGTCCCAGCAATTACCGAGGAGGAAAAATGATTACTGGGACAGGAACTCCTTTGTAATCTGAACCGTGTCTTGTACTGCACGCCAGCGGCTATTTAGACAACGAGGGAGCGCTCTCAAAGATCGCGATATTACTGATGTAGCAAACATGGCATCGCCGCAGCATAATCCAGACCCCTACGTCTATTGCGCTTCGGCGGAGTGCTATTCTCATTTCCCCCAAAGCTTTGCCAGAGATACGTTGGCCAAGGGGATTTAGGTCAACTATGTGCTACCCTCTGTGTGTGCCCCGACCCCAACTTGTACGGACCCAAAATGAATACAGTTGTAATACTGCGTTATTGCCTGCCTGCTGAGCGAGAATTCGATCTCGATATTAGAATGAAAAAGGTTGGCGCTGCTCTACCTTAGTGCGTCAACATTATAGGATGTATATGTTTCCACAGGAGCTACAGGCTCATAGCCCACAAGGTGCTGCGTTAAGCGTTTCCAGTGCAGATACAAGCGCAGATGGCCTGGCAGAGACGGAGTAAACCCACACTTTCCTCTTTACTCAAGGCATTTCGAGACTTTTGGAATCCAAACAGGCTCCACAACCTTCTCTCCCACATTAAACGGCTCACTCGCCAACAAGGTGGCCACGAAACGGGCAGGTTTCTCAGATGAAGGGTTCACCCACTTGTGGAGCGTTCCCCTCTGAATAACCGAGTCCTAGAAAGAGATCAGATCCTGTTCGCAAGTGCTCTTCTAGGCGACACATAAACCTACGCCTTGCTTCAACTGCAGTTTGGTGCAGTTCTCATCGTTTTCCCCCACCATTAAAGCAAGCTCCCCTTCCACCACAGTAACAAAGTCCACAGTGACAGTCCTATGCCATACAGAGTATGCCGAGGGCCCAAAGTCCCCTTGCACGAAGTTCGCGCCGCCTGGGGTGACGAGGTCGAATGCCTGAGGCCAGCTTTCTCCGTCCCCTCTGTCATATCCTTCGCCTGAAAGGTAGAACTTCATGTCTCGCTCGGCTTGAATATCTGCAGGCACCTTCTCAAGCTGGTATAAACGTGTAATTGCATAGCCGCCGCGGTCATGGTATCTGAGATCCGGGGAAGCGAGGATAATGTCCTTTCCCGTTGCATCCAGCCCAGTAATATAACGTGTACTCTTTCTTAGCCCGTGCTCTATGCCGGGTGATGCTGACGGGTGGCCCTGTCCAGACATCGGAGTTTGACAATCCGCTTACAGTCGTACTTCTCTACTTCAGCGCGATGAGGACGGGGTTACTGCATAGACCGTGAGCCTCAGCGTGTGCGTGATCTCCAGCAGGTATTCATGGCTCGACACCAGGTTTCGGAGAGTACTAAACATATAGACAATGACTCACATACGCTCCGTATTGGCCTTGAGCTTTTGGTAGTGGAAGTTGACCAGTCGGGGAAGATATGGGCGTTGTCAAGTGCTGATACTTTCCTACATCACGTCCTGTTGAAGTGGGGTAGGTGGCGGTAATAAGGCTTTTACCTATACTGAACACAAAGCCGAAAAGGTGATGAAAGCCGATGAATAAAAATCACAGGGAGTTAAGTATACCTACACAAGCATTCACAGTGGCGCAAGTTCTGTAGCAAGTATTCCAGCATTACTTAATACTCAACATCATGGCCAGCCGCTTTGAAAACATCTTCATTATCACTGGTGGAGCAGGCGTTCGCTCGCGAAGGTCGTCCCCAGGAGCTGGCAAACATGGTTTCACTCCTTCTGCGTACAGAGAGCGCTTATGTCACTGGGGCTGTGTGGACTGCGGATGGAGGTTGTCTAGCCAGAAGGAAGGGTCAAGGGGTGTAGGAGACGCACCCATCGTGTGTACATGGAACTTGACAAATACTCGAAGAGGAAATCAACGTTATAGACTGCTCCACTGGTAGTACCCTCTACTGCCGCGAGTTCCCCGAGTAGTGATCAATATGGGTCACTTTGCTCGGTGAACTGGCACCATAGGATAACTAGCGGCATTAGGACTCGGCATACTGTGAGTAATCCAGTTACGCCATTTCGGCTAACCATGCACGTTTTTTCCGGCCCGGGGTACTCTAATACGAGTCATGTAGCAGCTCTGTTCACCTTGATCCGAGGTAAGGTGTCTGCCCGTCGTTGCCGATTTCGTCGATGCCATATTGAAGGTAGAGAGCTATAAGAAATACTACACTCTCTGCAAATCTGATCGCCACCGTACCACCTGCCAGCTATTGTTCACTGCGTGCATGATGCCACCCCAAACCCACTTAATAGAGTCTCCCTACAAGGTGGACATCCCGGTCAGCGATATACCATCGTGGGTCTTTTCGTCCGGTTCAGAGGAGACACGGCGAGAGCCTCAATATTTTGACGCAGACAACCCTGCACGGTACTTTAGCCTGAGTGAAGCCGAGCTCTATGTCAAGCAGGTGGCCCTTGGTCTACAGAGGCTTGGGTTGCAAGCAAACGATAAAGTTCTCCTGTTTTCTCCCAACAAGCTTTATTTCCCTGTCCTGCTGTGGGGGACCATTGCAGCGCGGTGCGTGTTTACAGCGGTTTCGCCTTCAGCACAGGAGGCAGGTATGTGGAGGCTTACTGGAAGAAAAGAGAATTCTGCAGCTGACACCTCTCAGAGCTCTCGTACCAACTGGCTGACTCCGGTGCTAAGCTTATTATCGCACACCCTGACACAGCCGCACTCGCCGTGCATACTGCCAGCAAACTGGGCTTACCTGTGACGTCGGTCCTCCTTTTCACGGACCCTGGTGATCAGCCGACGGGTGTTCCCCCGGGACTCAGGAATTGGACAGATATATGGGCCCCGCCAGAAGAGGCTCGCGTTTGGAAATGGGAACCTATTCGAACGATCGAAGAAGCGCAAAATACAGCTGCTATCATAAACTACTCTAGCGGGTATGCCTTGCGTCAACCAGAAAGAATGGGCTAACAAATGCTGACCACATTAAGCACAACCGGAACACCAAAAGGGGTGGAGCTCTCCCACTATAACGTCATTGCTAATTCCGTCCAAATTGTGCATAAACGGACTCTAGTTGCCAATACCCCCCAGGGTCGCGCAAGGAGACATCGCTTGAACCTATCTGGAGAGCGATGGATTGCTCCACTGCCTATGTATCACGCATTTGTATAGTCTTCAAGGCCCTGTCAAATTTGATAGCCAACTAACAACAGACACTAGGGCCAAATTTGGTATTGCATGAACGCGGTTCAGCTCCGCGCCAAGGTATTTGTGATGAGCAAGTTCGACGTCAAGGCATACCTCCGTTACCTTGACATCTACAGAATCACCTTTGTGACAACCGTGCCAGTGATCATGGCCATGATGGTGAAGTACCCGCACCCTAACAGCGTCAACCTCAAGGCTATAGAGAATGTCGTTTCGGGCTCTGCGCCGCTTAGTCCCGAAATGGGGAAAAGGTTCAAGGAATTGTACTTGCACGAGGAAGCAACTGTCAAACAAGGCATGGGACTTACTGAAACAACGTGCTCACTATTCCAATTTGCACCTGATGATATTGATGATGGGCGGTCAATTGGATGGCTCAATGCCAACTGTAAGGCTAAGATCGTTCCTGTGGCTGGTGAAGATTATGAGAGTACAGGGCCTCCGGGTGTTGTTGTTGGCGAGATCTGGGTTTCCGGGCCAAATGTTATGATGGGGTACTATCGCAAACCCAAGGAAACGGCCGCTACAATTGTTCATGAAGCTGGGGAGCGCTGGTTGAAGACTGGTGATATTGGTTACGCCGATGACAGCGGTAGATTCTACGTGGTAGACAGGATGAAGGTAAGCCGAAGTAAACTTGCTGCAGCACATAATCACCCTACTGACCTTCTCCAGGAATTACTTAAAGTGAGGGGACTACAGGTCTCACCAGCTGAGCTTGAACTTGCCCTCCTGCAACATCATGATATCAGCGACGCAGCGGTCGTTGGTGCGAAGATGTATGTTTTTCCGCTTTGCTTCACCCCACATACATGCTAATGACAGTAGCAATGGTGGCGAATACCCTCGAGCCTTCGTAGTTAGAAAGCAGGGAGTGGTGACGGCTGCAGAAGTCGAAGAGCTGATCCGCTCAAGGTTTGCAAGACACAAATGGCTTACAGCGGGCGTTTATTTCATTGATAGGATCCCTCGTACTGCTAGTGGCAAGGTGATGCGACGTCTGTTGCCCAAGATTGAAGTGAACCCGTCCTCCAAGCTCTAAGTGTTGTGCGCTAGGCTAATGGGTGAAATTTTGGTCTGGGCGTACGGCTATTAGAGTTAGACCAGTGCTCTACATATCACCTATACCGGGTTTTAGGGGAAGTCAGAAGTTACTTCCACCGCAACAAATCTCATTATACAATTAGATCAGTGAGCAAATGGCGCAGGCATATCGCTTAACTAACACTACCACGAGATAGCACTGGGACATCTTGAAGCAGGCTAGGTAGCACACAGGTTATTGTAAGGGTTAAGGATTCTAACATCTGACATGTAAATTCTATCAAGAATCCATCTCATCTTGTAGCATGGCATTTGGTGAATTAGATGAGGATAGTTGATCATCATTTTAAAACTCGATTAGGAGTGAAACAACAAGGGGACTGGTTAGGAGATACGATGATATTTGACAGTAAGAATGCCTTCAGCATGTCGAGGCTGTATTTGGATTCGCCCACTCAAATAATATTGGAAGGGGGGAGACATTACGAGGCAATAATACTGCAAACATTCTATTAGGAATTCCAGACGACCGAGTCTCTCTCCCATTTACTAGGAGGGACCGTGATACGCAAAACCGCAAATTGCAGCTCATCAAGTTGATGTCCTGGTACAAATTATCTCATTTGCCACTGTCACAGCCAAAGTCTTTTGGTCTATCTCGATCCCCACGTCAATACACATCGGGCGTGTAATCTACCACGATTACATTTTCCACCGCACTAATAACCAACGGGGTAATAAGCGCATGGTATGGATCCTTGAAGGTGTAGTAGTCGCGGTCTTCGGGGCTATCGAACTCCCAGGTAAAGGCGTATTGATAACCTTTCTATTTTAAATTAGCATTATCAGGCTTCCGTTAGAAGTTGGAATGCCATACATTGAAATTTTTGGGCGAATTGTTCTTCCCGCCAGTCAAATTCTTGACCAACGGCTTTCCCGTTGTAGGATGGAGAGCCTTGTCTTTGATTTCACGCAAGCTCTCTAATGCCTGGCGTGAATGGGCCAGCTTAGGGACATTGATAGATCTTTAAGACAATTGGGTGTTTCCTTACCTTCTCCTTATCAGCATCACTGATGTCGGGCTTGAATGAAAGGATAACGACGTGAGAAACGACCATTTTTGCGAGTAATAATATAAATTATCTCAGATAATGAGAGGATATCAAAAAGGATTTAACTCCGCATGATGAGGGATGACACTTTATATTTAGGGAGTAATACCGTCGAGTCTTTCAGTCTAAGTGATGCCTGCTTCCCCTCAAGTGACCGACCCAAAAAGCCGAAATCCCAGCTTTTCCGACTAATACCTTCATTCTTACTTCTGTGAGGAGAGAAATGCAACGCCAAATGCCAGGTTCAGGGGGCGCCGCCAATAGCAACAACAGTATCCGGCAAATGTCTGGCATGTCCCTCAGTGTGTGCAAAGATCGGACGTAGCCGCACAAGTTCGGTGTATGCTATCACCACAAGAAATAAAGCTGTCTATTGCCTGTGTCGCCTGATTTCCTAGTATTATTGTTCCACTAGAAAGTCCGACGGTTGGGTAATCCAATGACTTCTCAACTGACCTTCTCCCATGTGCTGTAATGAGAACTAATAAAACCCCGGTTCGGCCAAGTGGTGGAGTACGAAGCTACTTGCGGATATTCTGACTCTTTTTGAATGTTCTCGTTTTGATTAAAAGCGTCGCCTTGTACCTAGTAGAGCTCTCTGGAAGATAGTAATCATCTTGGAAGGCTTCGCAACTAGGACAAAGCCTGTGGCTGAATTCCTTCGCAAGTTTGCTCTGGTGTAAGGCCATGAAGACTAATGGGTAGATACCCCGATTTACCGAAAGGCGCCTGAGAACAGTAGCCGATTGAGCTTTCGGCATTTGAAGGTGTAGTTGAGCTCCGTAAGAAGTTAGAGGCTTGTAAAGAACCTGTGTGCTGTATACAATATGGGTGCAACTGCATTGTCATGTGCAGCACCCATCCAAATCTTACGGGGTCGTCTCTCATGGGTAGGTGTGGACTGGCTGTGAGTTGGATATCGGTTGATCCGCACTGTGTCTGATCTAACCTATGTGGATAATGGGCCAATCCACTCCCTATGCAACCCACCCTCATATCCGGCGCGGATTGGATCGAGGATAATATGGATATCTATACAATCGAGTTAGGTGACATCTGGTATTCAGATCACCGCCTATTATTTTAGTATTATACCTTAACGCCTAGGGTATCTATATATTATATTGAATTACACGATTAGCAGGTATATAAATATTATATATTACATATTAGATAACCTAAAAATAGGCTTATTTAGGGAAGTAGGGTTGTGCGCCTAAGAGTCGCATGAAAAGTAGGGCGGAGATATATATGTCTTACTACTTGTTTCCTCATTACTGTGCTCAAGAATTTAAGATCTACCACAGCACTAGTTTTTCTTAGTGGATCTAATAATTCTTATTTATATATGGTTAGATAGGCCTATTTTCTATATATAGATATAAAAATTTTCCCCTACCTAGGCCTAGATTGCTTAGCTAAGCTTATCGGGCCCTAGAGGCTTCAGGTCACGAAAGCATACCAGCATGACAAAAAAAGTGCTAGGCCGTCAGCCTGGATTTACCGACGGTTTTCAGCCCTGTTCCCCTCTCACTTGCCCGGCGAGGGCCGTTGGTTGGAAGTCTGTGAATAAGAAAAAGAAAAGGAACCAGGTGTGCTGGCTGATGTCCAAGCTTATGATCCAGTCGCAGGGAAGTTGGCCAGGGGGATGGTGAATCTAACAACACAGTTAATCAAAGAGAGGCCCTATCAACAGTGCAAACGGATTTCAGTATTCACTCATGAAGGAGTATTTCCACATTTGTGTTTTGCAAATCCTATTGTTTTCTATTATCACCCTTGGTTTCCGTGTCATAATAGTAGGTAATGTGGCGAGAATAGTCTTTGTAAGTGCATGCTCCTCTCAACATGCTATATTTACTTCTACCGGATTTGCGTGACGCATTTCTTGGTTCAGGATGGATACACATTGAGACTCTTCGAATCAAAAACAAACGTCCTTTGAAGTTTTATTGAAAATATCGGAAGCCAATAAAGCATGGTAGAATGTCAAAAACCCGCCAGATCTACGCGGCTTCGCCAAGGTGTTTCTTCAAGAAAGGCAGAATTTCATCTAGCGCTGGCTTAGTAGCCTCGGGTCGGTCATAGAGCATGTAGTGAGAGACCCCTGGCAGGATAACAAGACGCTTTTCCTCCGATGCTGCCCTCGCGTAAATCTCGTTGGCGTCGCGGTACGCTCCGAACGTACCAACCTGATCACCAGCAACAACCATGAACGGCCGTGTCATGAGCTTTTCGGCAAACGCAAAGGCGTCCCAGGCGACCGCAGCGCTATTAAAGGAGAACAATCCGCTCACACAGCCATTGTCTGACTTGCCGCGGTCAGTTCTATAGTATTCCATTGCTTCGCGCATGTCGATGTCGGCATTCTTGGCCTCTTCGACGCTCGCAAAGGGCAGGTAGTTGAGCACAAAGCGTTCGGCGCCTTGGGCTTCAGCCTTGCGCTGCTGGGCCATCTTTTCAAGGGCGCCAGCCGGATTGAATTCAGCGAACGCTTCGCGGGCGAGGCGCCCGAAGTTGGCAGGGGTGACGCCGACGCTGCACTTGAAACGATAATCGGTCATGGCTGCATTGAGTGCGTAACCACCGCCTCCACAGATCCCGAGGACACCAATTCGTTCGGCATCGACGTATGGAAGCGACTTTTGGATGTAGTCGACCACGTACCGGAAGTCGGAGACGCGGAATTCAGGATTCTCGACAAACCGAGGCGTGCCGCCTGAGGCGCCCTGGAACGAGGCGTCAAACGCCACCACGACAAAGCCCGCTTCGGCCATGGCTTTTCCGTAGACATTGCCCGAGGTTTGCTCCTTGCATGAGCCGATTGGGTGGGCCGAGACAACGGCCGGATACTTCAGCTTGGTGTTGGGGTCGAAGTTGGGTGGGAAGTGGATGTCTGCGGCGATGTCCCACGCAACGCCGGGGATGGCGACGGTCTTGACAGTCTCAGGCATGTTTGTTAATGGAGATATGGACAAACGATGTGGTTGTAGGGTGAATTTGGGAGCGTCCTGATCCCAACCTATATATAGCCTAAAGTGACACGGGCAACGAACGTCATCACTTTCGCAGTGGGCCCGGATTGGCTGACAGGCTAACTCCGAACTGCTGTCATTCCATAGCGTACACACTCCGAAGATTTTCGGGTTACGCGGGGGACCCCTAAGAGTGTAAGCCTAGACCGAATGTGCGCCGACGGTTTTCGGATTCTAGTAGAATCTCCACTCTACTACCACTAAGTATCAAGTACCAGGGAAAAGCTGCTGTACACCCCATCTGGTCTTCACATTTAATATTGTAAATGGTACACAGTAGTGCTTCTTCCAATGCCCCTTGTCGAGTTTGATTAGTATCCGTTTCGTTACTATGTATTTGCTTGAAGCTGGGTGCTGCTGGAACTCGGGACAACAAAGGCAATCTGGAGTTCAACTTTTATTATTTTATTTTATTTTTATTTTGATTTATTATTATTATTTTTATATTTTTTCCTGTCTTACAAGAATCCGCTTATAGAAAGAGACAAATAATAGTATACAGAGTACGCCACTTTCTCTCATGGTGAAGTGCTGGGTAGTACCTTCGGTCTATTCTATGACTACGCCTGGATAGTAGCAAGAAATGAGATTTTACCCACAGCCAGCAGTGTCCTAGGCGCAATTGTCTTCACGCCAGGACTTAGTTGCGGGGTAGGTTGAGCAGTATGCGATCCATCATTGTTTGAAGGGGTGCAAGCGCATGATTTTAACCCATGTTTCTGCCCCGGAGAACCAAGAAATCTCCCCGGAGTCAACTAACGGGGTCAGTGCTATCAAGATATTGTCAAGTCCTCTCTCGGGGTCATTATAGTACCTGAGGTCATCGTGTACCTGGCCGTCAGACCATATATCGTTTTTATCTGCACACTCTCCACAAGATACCGAGCCCTAAGTCAGTAGCTGCCTCCCACTGTGAAGATCCGGAGTTGGCTGTGGTAATAAGGTGGTACCTTCATTGCTTTCACTGAAGATTGCGTAACTGACCAAAGAGTTGCAAGCCAAGTACCTATATCTTCCAGAGTACGGACTAACAACAAATATGGTCAACAGGTCATTGCACCTGTCTAGGTGACCTGGCAGATGACAGGTACCTCAACCATGATAGGCCAGTGCTACCTGTTTCAGATGCTGTGATCCAGCATACATTTCCACGGCAACTCCCCGATCGTTAACCAGCTTATGGAATGCAATCTGTAACCGCTAGTCAGACGTATAACAAATACCAGCTGCATGATTACCCACTTCTACTACCTCAACCCGGGGTATATAAGCGGGTGCGGAGAGCAGTGGGCCGTCCGCGCTTTTGAAATGCCGAACGCGGGGAGAGCCACAGGAATAAGACGCCGCAGCCAGATTTGGGCTGTTTAGGCGAGCATCTGCCTGGCTTTCGGTGAAATCTGAACTAAAAGATGGTTAACCCTTGTACGGGGGAACAGGATAGTGAGACAGATTATCAGCCAGCACTCAGATTGGGAGCCGTCAGCATCTTTCGCCTCCGATCCAAGAATCCTTTACTGACAGGATTTGATTTCTCGTCGGTATATGTTCAGTTTAGCGTCAAACGTTGTACTTTGCTGCCTCGAGATTCGTCCCGAGGCGCTGGCATGGGCTTTGCCTAGGCCCCCTTCCTCTGCTATAAAAGGGAAGACCAGCAAAGAGTGAACTCAGCTGACAGCTCGGTCCGAGTTTTATTCACATTCCAAACGCTTTGGCAATGGCTCGTATCACTCTCTACAATATTTTGATCAGCTGCTTTGTGGCCCTTGGGTCTGGCAGCTACGGCTATGGCTTTGCGGTTTTCCCAACAAGCACTGGTCAGCCTGGCTTTTATAGCTACTTTAATCTTGATCGTATGTACCACTGGGCAATGTGCAGAACGAGACTTACTTATTTTCATGTAGCCGAGAGCTCCTATACTGCCAAGTACGCATTTCCTCACTTGTGCAGTCAGGAAGACCATACTAATCCAACCACAGCATCCTAGGCGCGATTAATGCCCTGTTTAACCTTGGCCTTGCACTGGGGGCTTTGGCCCAGGGCTGGCTCGCCGACAAAGTCGGGCGCAAGAAAGCTTTTATGGTAGCTGCAGTGTGTACACTTATCGGCGCGGCTCTCGTCACTGGTTCCGTCGCGATTGGCATGCTCATTACGGTTCGCTTGCTGCATGGATTTGGGCTCGGCATGCTTGTTGGGCTTGTCCCGCTCTATCTCACAGAGACCGCGCCTGCCCGCTCCCGTGGGTTGCTCTTATGCATCAACACTTCCTGCATATCAATCGGGTACTTTGTGTATGTTCTTTCTGTATCACGATCTGACTTTCGCAAGCTAAGGAATTCTGTTGGGATGAAGCTGTGCGTGGATCTCCGTCGGGACATACTATTCCGTGAATGAAACACTACGATGGAGGATGCCCCTTGCACTAGCCTGCGTCGGTCCACTGGCAATGATTATTGGTCTTCCTTTCATCCCAGGTACGTTGTCGAGTTCTTTTCCCAGTATACCAGCTGATCAGACACTCCCAGAGTCGCCAAGATACTTGGCTTTGGCAGGCAGGAACGACGAAGCTTGGGAGGTTGTACGCACACTTCATCGAGACCCAACTGATTTCGAAGATGAAGCGGCACGAGCAGAGTTTACGCAAATTATTCGCCAGACCGATTATGATAAAGAATTGGGCTACGGTTACATGAAGATGTTCACCAGGCCATCATGGAGGCGCAGAAGTCTTCTCGCTATGTTTCTGATGTAAACGACCTCCTTCGCCTGCCACGACCTGCCAGACGGCTAACAAATGCATTTAGGTTTGCCGTTCAATCGACGGGAGTATACCGGCCTCCCCAAATGGATCATACATGGCCTGAGAACGATCTGAACTGACAGTAACACAGGTCCTAGGTATCACAAACTTTTTGATTCTGATCTTCCAGAACCTGGGAATGGAGCATTCCATGCCTTTGGTTCTATATGGTAAATCACGATCTCAGCAACAGTAGTTATTGATGCTGACAATCCTTTAGGAGTATACGCATCAGCTGGAGTAGTGTGGGTTACTATAGGGATGTTGATATGCGATAGGATTGGGCGCCGGAAGCTTCTTCGTAAGTCGCACTTGAATACTGTCCGAATCACAGCTGATAGGATATGTATTTTCAGTGACAGGGTTCATCGGACAAGGTTTAACGCTCCTCGTCGAAGCTCTCCTGCAGTGGAAGTATCTTGATACCCACAACCAGCCCGGTCTCAGCGCCTGTGTCGCCTTCCTCTTCGTGTACATGCTGTTCTTTAACATGTGCACAGATGGACCATCCTGGGCCTGGATTGCTGAAGTTTTCCCAACGACCGCGCGCTCACGCGGAATTGGTCTAGGGCTGTTTTCTTACTTTGTCGGAACTATCATCTACACTACACCCGGTGCATTGGCGTTCAGAAACATGTGAGCTTCCCCCGCTTACCTTGTCATAGGCGATGACGAAGGCCACGTACGCTAACATTATACACATGCAGTAAGTACAACCTGTTCTATCTGTACTTCGGACTTTGCATGATATCCGCCGTTGTCATATACTTCTATATCCCGGAAACACGGCATGTTCCAGTTGAAGAGCTCGGGGCCCTCTTTGGGGATGCTGTCGTCGTGCATCTCACCCCAGATGGACATGGTATTCTGGAGGAGAAGGGACCGGTCGCAGAGATTGTGGAAGATGTCGCCCTAGAGCGTAAGCCGAGTGCCCTATGATCGTGACTGGAAATCAAACTTTGGGGGCTCCTAGTTGCTATCCTATGAGGTAATCTGGGTCGATTTACTTGAATAGTCATTAGCTGTGCTACATTTGACTTGCTTGGCCAATCTCTCGAGCTACTGTCTCTTTGAAGTCGTGAAAGATCCCTGGCTGTTTGGGAACCACTAATTGGGTCGACCTGCATGTGGCTCGGATTTCCTCCCTCAGGTTGGAGTGCCATTTAGTTATTCATGCCAGTAAATTCAGAGATTTGACTACGCATCCGACTAAATTATCTGCCCTCTTCAGGGCAAAAATGTCCAAAACAGCACTACAAGAAATTGTACAGGCCCAAGTATGAACAGAAACCGAATGTGCTAAGTGATTATGGACAGTTCAGACTCTACAAGAAGCGATAGGAGCTCCCTCCATCAACCACGATATGCTGCCCAGTGACAAAGCTGGAGAGATCGCTTGCAAAGAAAACAACCGATCGAGCAATGTCCGTGGGCGTTGCTATCCTCCCCATTGGGCATCTAGCATTCATTGCCTCCCTTTCCTTCGGATCATTCACATATTCTGCAACCATCTGGGTATCTGTTGGCCCGGGGAGGACACAGTTGTATCTGATAGCATGTGGGCCGTACTCCACAGCAAGATTCTGCATCAGAGCCAAGCCAGCAGCCTTGCTACCGGCGTAGTGAGCAACGTTGCTAGTCCCCACAACCGCAGTGTTTGAGCAGATTGTCACAATGCTGCCACCGTTGCCCCTTTCCACCATGTGCCTGGTAGCAGCCTGAGTAACCAAGTATAAAGCGACAAAATTGACATTCGCGTGGTTTGCAACAACAGACTTCGTCACCTGGTCAGCGGGCAGCGGCTTGAAGATGGCTGCATTATTGACGAGGATGTCAATATGACCCAGGCGAGAGACAGCGGCATCAATTAGCTTTTGCGGCCCTTCGTCGTCGGTCAAGTCGACTCCATATACGATAGAGGTGGTGAAGAACTGGTTGCGTAGCTCATCCTGCAGTGCTTTCGCGTCTTGTTCTGTCTGCGAAGTCCCCAGGTGGTGGAGAACGATTTTAGCACCCTGCGCTGCACACTCAAATGCGCATCCACGGCCAATACCACTGGAGCTGCCAGTAATGACAACGACCTTTTCGTGTAGGAGACCCATTTGGAAGTTAGATCAGTGTAACGTCCTGTGCAGAGTGAAAGGAAGGGGAGGATGACCGGTAGAAACAGAACAGTTCAATTTATGAGCGTTTACTGTCTTTGTTTCTGCCATTCAAGACTTGCGGCCCCCCAAAAAGGCTGCGTGACAGCGTGGTAAATTCAGCGGGGTGGCCAATTTTTCGGGTTGACAGTATGCTTATCCCGCGCATATTCGGTCTATCGGCATTTCTATAGGTGGCACCGGGGCATTCGTTTTTGTGCGGGATATGGAATTTGCACGTTGAGGCAAGATAGAGATTGCACATAATCACCCTTCTATTACACTGTTGACCTCGGTGTACTAACACAGTATGTTCCCAATCTTTGCCAAGATTACGGGTGCCTTTTTGCCGAACACGTAACGAAGAACGACATGTACTGCCCTCTGCAATCATGCCAGTCAGCAGGCAGCACTATTCGAGTAGTGCGGCATCACGCTGAGCCTTGAGTTCTGCAACTGCAAACTGCAGGAGGCATTCGCCGCCTAGACAGAACAAGTCAGACACTTACTCCCGACTCATACGGCAAAGCATTTCCCTGATGAGCGGGTACGACTCCTCTGCCACTGCACTGCCTGATATGCTCCGTGCATTACATGGATGGACAGGAAAATGCTGACCGTATCATACACAGCATGGCCTATACAGTACTACCACTTACTCCCTGGGGGGTGTAACGGGAGCCTCTCCTCACCGCCAGGAACCTGTCCAGGCGGGTCAGATTCTTAACCTTTGGGGAATGTTTGGAGAGTAACGCAGAACGTTGAATCATGTGTTCACTATATATTGTATCTAAGGTTGCGATACTGCTAATGCACATGGTTAATCTGTTATCTCCAGAGACCCTGGCCTTACAACTTGCCTCGCCGTCCTTCGATAAGGTCTAGAGTCTTGTCCAGCGCATAATCACAGCGAGCTGATTTACTTCGCACTGATTCTGCTTGGGCCCGTGTAACATAACGAGCTTCAACCGCGGGGTTATACCCTAGCCCACTGTAATTTGCAATCTCGCCTTCCGTGGGCTGGGAAGTAGTATTCGTCCTGCCATCAGTCCTTCGATAGACTGTAACCACAATTGCGCCGCCAAGGCCAATATTGTGTTGGAGGGCTACCCTAGTATTTGCGACTAGCCGCCCATTATTTGCCCAACCCCGGAGTTGCCAGACGAGCTCCGCACACTGTGCTAGACCTGTAGCCCCCAAGGGATGCCCCTTGGATATCAGACCTCCGGAAGGGTTAATGATGGGTCCTCGACCGCCGTAAGTAATATCGCCGCTCCGGACCAACTGGTGAGCCTGCCCCTTCTGGGAGAACCCCATAGCGTCAAGTGAGATCAGTTCATTTGCTGAAAAGCAGTCATGCAGCTCGCAGACTTTGATATCATGTATTGACTCTTTTGCGTCCATCAAGGCTGCCGCCGTGGCGCTGCGTGTCATCTCGTAGCCAACCATGTCCATCGCACCGCCGGAATATAAGGAAGGACTATCCGATTTCATGGATTGCCCTGCAATCAAAATCGCGTGATCTTTCAACTCGGGTCGAGCGTCCAAAAACCTTTGTGAAACTATTACCGCAGCAGCAGCGCCATCTGAAGTTGGAGAACACTGCAGTTTTGTCATGGGATAGTAGATCATCGGTGCATTCCGAATCTCGTCGAGTGTATACACGGTTCGAAACTGCGCATATGGGTTGCGGGAGGAATGTTCGTGAGAGATCCGCGCAATTTCAGCAAAGTCATCGGCAGTTGCTCCGAACCTGAGGTACATGCTATGTTAGCACCTAGCTCTATATGCACACTTTCTGTGCAACAGGTAAAAAAGGATAGCAAACCTCTCCATGTACTCCCTTCCTGCATTGCCGAACATCTGTGGGTTTTTGGGTGTTTTATCAGCTCCCCTCGTGGCCTCCATCAGTCTCATACTGAGGTCGAACGGGGTTGGCCGGTCCGTCACCGTGCTCACAAGCGGTCCGGCGTTCATCTGTTCAAACCCGACAACGAGAACACAGTCGTGCATGCCGGAGCGGACGAGATTCCGCGCCATATAGATCCCCGTGGACCCAGTTGCACACGCATTGTTGACGTTGTATATGGGGATCTCAGTCATTCCAAACTGGTAGAACGCGCGCTGGCCACTGCAGGTAGGGCCGAACGCATAACATGCTACACCGGCTTCGACATCGTCGTAGGTTACGTGCGCGTCGAGCATGGCTTTGACACCCGCTTCGAAAGCCAGCTCGGTATACATGCGTGTGGCCCGGGGCTTTAGAAAGGCCGCCATGCCAACGCCAAGGACGTAGGCGTTTCCCCGTGTTTCGCCGGCCATGTTGTATTGATGATGAGAAATGAAGACGGATGACAGAGCCTGCAAATATCGGACACGAGAAGAAGCTTTGAATAACGTCGTTATTCATGGGGGCATGGGAGCTACAAGTATACAGCATGTCCCATCCGAGGTATCACGGGCCGGCTGGAATCGATTCCGACGAATGGATTACATTGGGGTATATCAGCCGCTGCAAACCAAGGCTCGGGAGCGGCGTACCGCGGAAGAGGGCAGATATCACTAAGGGGATATGTAATTGTTCCCTTTGTGAATGAAAAACCGAAGAGTGGAGTACGCCAACTCCGCGAATCGGTTTTGTGGCTGCACAGACCATCAACGATGCACCGCATGCGAGCTCTCGAGGAACCCACGCAGGATTCGCACCACTGATTATGCCCATGTAGATGGCCGCCAAGAATATGCTGTTGCCGGAGAAGAGTACTACACGATCTCCAGCCTTAACCCCGATTTGCGTAGGCCCGCCGCAAAGCGCTAGCTCCAAAGTCAGAAATCATGAGGCATAAGGAAATGGGCGGCGAGATAGTTTCACATCCATAAAAGACCTCTCGATCTTGCTAAGAGACCGCTCCGGAGACTGCAAAAGGAGCGTGGTCAGATGGGTGTCTGTGGACACATGCTTTGCAAAGTGATTGAAACGGCGTTATTCCTTGAAACTTGTAAAGGATAAGTCGAAGCATCTTGTAAGCTGTCTGCTAGTATTTATTTCTTTAAACAGCTATTTATCGGCGAAACAATCCGTCTTATACTAAGGTACCCAGCGGGGATAGCGAGGATAAGCACAATTTGGAGACTTGAAGAATAGGGAATTCCGAGCAAAAGCTGAGCCAGCGTCACCAGTCCTATCCCGGGAACCCCGTAGTGAGAGCCACACAGCAGTCCATATCAGTCATGAAAGATGAATCCCATTTCTTTAAAGAAAGAAAGAGAAGGCTAGGTCAAGTAGCTTAGACAGTAAACTCGCCAGGCGTGTTGTCCTTCCACTTTTGCAATTCGCTTAGATTGGCCGAGCTCTTGATATCAATTGGTTCTTGTGCAAACGGCAGAAGCGACTTGACCAGTGCGGCATGGTATTCACTGTTGAAGTAGGCGAACATTGCCTTGTTGGACACGAATCTGAGTTGTGTGAGAATCCATGTGGTTAACGATACACCAGAGTAACTTTGCCTTACTGCTCGATAACGATAATTTCTTCCTTGCCAGACACGACGAATGGATATGCGTGGTGTATGCCCGCGACGTTCTCCCGTATCTCACCTAACGCCTTGAACACATAGTCCTGCAACTATTTTACAAGCTCGTCAGTCCAGTACTGATAAAGTGCTGAGAGAGTCGCGTGCATGCCTCAGGGAACTTTCCCGCTTGTGGGCGAAGGTTGATAACGCAAGTTGGATTCTCTGCCATTACTGCTGTAGATAATGGAAGATGGAGAAATATTGGTCGTCTGTGTGCGGTGTTGAAGAAATTATTAGTCTATATATATCTGATGTTTTGGCAGAATCTCACTCTCGTTCGGGCGTCATCACCATCTACTAAAACCGATCGACGTGCCCAACGTTACCGAACTTGTATCGATTCCCCCGGGGAGGGAGCATGCATTAGCAAATAAGTCAACCCGGCATTTGGTTTGTTAAATCTTGCTGAATTTCCCGAAGCTCGGCGGCCGATCCGTCAAATCGACTCTTTTCCCAGCGTTTGAGATGACCTGTGCCAATGCGTAGATAGTCCGCCTACCAGGCAGCAAGCGGGATATTTACCCCCATTCAAGAGTCTGCCAAAAGGATCGAATGCACCAACTTACTGTTCCATTTGTCACTGAGTACAAGGGCGCCAAGATGCTACAGAAATTCCTTTCTATCGTTGTCATCCTGCTCGCGGTCTCCTATCATGTCTTTTTTCGGAATTTCCTGTTCACATTCCTTGGTGTCGGCCGAAGTCTGAGCCAGATACAGGAGTTTCCATATGCATGCCGCAGATTGGAACATCCTTCCCTGAGCTCCTGCGAGGATCTGTGGCTAGACGAGGAAAATCGCACACTGTATGCCGCGTGTAGCGATATGCGGAGCCGGACTCAGTGGCTTCCAGGGCATGCACCCTTTTCTTCGTTTCGTCACGCGAAGCTGACCTATATCAACCTAGAGCAAACAATTTCAATGCTTCCGGACGACGAAAGACGGACCATTTTTCTGTTCTGAATATCGATTATCCTGGAGAGGATGACCTATACGGCGTGCACCACTTGGAAGTCACCGGCCCGTATAAAGGGATTAATCCTGAAAATGAGAATGTACTCGACCTCCACGGATTCGGGGTCCGAAAGCTCAGCCAGTCTCGACTGCAATTCTTCGTCGTCAATCATCGGCCACCTACCAGTCCTGGAGAGCTCTTGGCAGAGAATATCAATGTGGTTGGAGACAATTCGACGATAGAGGTGTTTGAGCTGGAGCGGGGGTCGTCGAAGCTCGAATTTGTCAAGACAATCGTGGATGACAACCTGATATCCCCGAACGATTTAACGTGGGTTTCAGAGGGTCATATCATCATTACCAATGATCACTTAACAAAAGGTTGGTCCCTTTCCCGCTTCATCTGATATGATTCGTTTTGTGGATAAGCGCTAATGCCGAGTTCCTACGCAGCGGGGAAGGTGAGGATTCGTAAACCATTTCTCATGATCCATCTTTGACATAGGCGCTTTTCTCCAGCTTCGTGAGCTACAGTCCTATTACGGATCCGGAAATCTCATCGCATGCGACCTCGGCTCTGGAGAATGTCATCCAGTTATACAGCACGGACTGCGCTACGCAAATGGCGTGGTTCAGGGCCACGATGGACTCATATACATATCTGAGTTCATCGCCGGCAGAATTTCGGCTTACAAAGTCTTGAGCGACGGAGCATTTATACGCGTTGATACCATCGACTTGAAGATGCCAATTGATAACCTGTACATTGACACCGATGGCAGTATTTGGGCGCCAGGCGTGCCAAAAGTACAACCGTTGTTAAGGACCGTAGAGACCGGAGAAAGGATTGATGTTCCATCAACCGTATACAGAATCAGAAACCTAGGAGATAGTAGGGCTCCACGGTTTGATGTTCGGAAAGTGTTGGAAGACGGAGCCGGTATAGTCCTCCGTGGGTCAACAGCCGTTGTGCATGACGTTAAAACTGGCAAGCTGTTTATGGGCGGGGTAGGGTCGCCATTCATGGCAGTTTGTGCACCGAAATGAATAGCAGAGCGATAGTCCCGCAGGAGCAACCTCGACCGATGTATATAAAGTCCTGTAGCTTAGGCTGCATCACTCAGCCAGTGATTGGATCCTAGGACAGACATGAACGTGAACTTCACTACAGGAAGGTTGGAAAGTTGTATGTATAAGCATCGACTTTAGGATAATGTCTTGAATAGTTTTAACCAGGAACCACCCCTCATAAAGCTAATACTACCTTCAAGAGCTATTTTACTCAAGCAGGTCACAAATTAGGAGAAGCCAAGCTGGGATGAGGGCAAGTACCTTGAGCAGTACTGGAAGAGCCCAGCTCATGGAGCAGCCACAATGTTCAAGGGTGCCCTTGCTAAAGAAGTGGAGTGGAAGGGGTTTAAATTTCTGGACGGCTGTCAGATTGCTGGGCCACATGATCCTGCCAGTGTCTGGATCTCAGGGCTCTGACTGAGAGTTATGGGCCTATAGTCCTGAGTGGGTAAGAAAGTTGTGGCACAAGACATCGGAGATGTTGACGTTGGATGATCTCTACATGGATTCACTTCTGTGATGGGGTATAGCTTGTCTCGGCCTACACTGTAAATTTAACTCGAAGTACAGCCGAGAACTGTTCTGACCATCAGCTCGAGTGTATGATCTATCGAAATCTCTGAAGCACATACTGTGTGGATGATGATAGATAGGCCCTGCGTAGATTTCTCGAATGATGAGATAAATTGCGTCCGGGAAATAATGTACATGGAGCCTGTCGCACAGAGTCGTCCAAGCGAGACTCTATCCGTACCCCTCTCTTCGTTTCTTGATACTCTTCTCATATCATCGGGCAGAACAGCATATCCTCAAACGAGACAGTCATGTACAACGCATCATTTATTCGAGAACATGTAGGTTGGTAGAGGACCAGGAAGTTCTTTGAAGATAAATGTGTTGCTACGGGCTAGTAGATGTACCGGAAACTTCTAGAAATTAGTCTCAAGTTGCTAGTGTGCTTAGTGTTTGGGACACTTACTTGAGATTCTCTTTGTCTGTCATATCCAAGAAGGCAGTGGCTGCCAAGTCTCTGCCCTCGAGACCTCCCTCAGCCTGGGATTGGATGCGGTCCCGCCTCTTGTTTTCCCGTTGAAGAAGGAATCCCAGCAAGGCAGTTAGAATGATGCCGACCAAGCTACAGACGATCATAGACCACATGCCGAGGGGGTATGTTGGCCTGAATCGCGCCATTAGCCAAGTGAAATAATGAATAACCGCGGCAATCGAGCACTCACTCATCTTGGGACCTGTAGAAGAAAGGACCCGCAAGGTTTCCGGAACTGTAACCCAGAAAGAAGCCGATGTTCATGACGATTTTCTTGCTGTGGCCTGGTTGAGTTAGGGTACGTTGTGTCCTGCTGAAGAGGAGAGGCACGAGATCGAGCTTACCTGAAACATTGGCGATAATCATGCTAAGCACGAGAACCCAGGCACCGGGATAGAAGGCAGTCAGGTAGTAGCAGATCAGGCGACCAACCTTCTGATCTAGAGGAACGTAGCGCATTCCAAAGCCAGCCGCCAGAGTTGGGATAAGGTAGAGTATGACAAAGAAGACCCTTCGGTTCTGAAATTTCGAGTTGAGGAATACGCAGCTGAGCTGGGCAAGGCAAATGCTCACACCATATGGAATCTGATCCAAGATGTGAGAAGAGCCCGTGCGAGATGTGTGTTGGATGGGACATGGCATACCTGTAGAAGTGTCGTCCCCAGTGTTGAAAAGCCAAATCCCCTGATAATGATTGTGCCAAAGTTGCTGAAACCACCATTCGGAATGTTGTCTAACAAAAATGTAATTAGCTTTCACTTCATGCCCATGTTTCATATCCCAGGAGCAAAAGTCGTACATACACAAAACTCCTTGGCCGGAAAGGATGTAAAGCTTGTAATCTAGGAGTGCTTCCTTCACTTGATACCACTTCAAGTGCTTGTTTTCGATACCAGTTTGATCATTCCGCATTCTTTCAACGATCATTTGTCGTTCCCTTTTTGTAAAAGCATGTGCATCCACAGGAGAGTTTGGAAGGAAAATGAATATGACGATCCCCCACGAAGCACAGAGCGCGCCGCTATTAGAAATTAATAATTTTGGTCCTTGTGTGCAACATGCCATAGTAAGGGGGGCTTACATCACCAAGAACTCATACTTCCACGAAGGTAGTGCCCCTTTGATATGTCCAATCGCATACCCGAGCAGACCTCCGAGTGCGACTCCTACTCCATAGCCCGAGTGCCAGATACCGATGCGGATAGGCTGCTCTTCCCTTGTATACCACATGCTAGTGATTAGCAGAAATGCAGGATCAGCACAGCCTTCCAGAGCACCACCAAGCGCACGAAGCACTGCAAGAGTGGCAAAATTATGACAGACGGCCTGTATCATCAGGAGGGCACCCCTTTAAATATAGGTCAATAAACGTCTAGTTGACGAAAGGAGACTGAATTCGACCAACCATAGGAAGATGCTGACGCCGAGATATCTTGCTACAAGTCTCTGAGATTAGAACTTCATCGCCGCAGAAACTTTTATGTTAACGCACCTAGAGGCAGTCGTTGCAGTAGGAAATTTGTGGGAATGGCCCATGCTATGAATCCAACGTAGAAGAAGCTGCTGAGCCAGTTATATTCGGTATGTCGCAAGTCGAGGTCATTGATGAGGCCAAAGATTGCTGCGTAGCTTAATGTGGTCTAGTAATATTGTCAAACGCTGTGGTAGAACACTGAATGTCAAGCCAGTCTTGGGGCTTACCTTGTCAATATAGAAGAACGCAAAGCAAGTCAACAAGCAAGGCATGATCAGCATGTCAATTTTTCGCCGAAGTCGCCGTATCTCTCGAGGGTCAAATTCCTCCTGGAGGTCATCTGTCGAGTCGAATAAAGCCATAGCTCTGTCATGTTCATAGGTTCTTCCTGCCGAGTTCAAAGATTTCTCGACGACTTCCGCATGGCTAGTCTGCGGCTGCGCAGCGCCATCAAAATCGGGTGCCTTGTCGGACATCATATTTGGGGTGACCTGGACATCAGGCGCCATGGTTTTCTCAACTGTGCTCATGGTGCAAGAAGACTTATGTGGGCAAAGGACCTTCAGTTGGAGCTTTCTCTCTCCTGTCCAGGGCCTGCTAGTTGTATTTGTATGCCACCTGCGGAGCTGCCTTTCGGAGTACTGCGAGATTGGTGGTTGCTCCCGCGTTGCTTGAAGTATACCCCGACTATCTCGAAAAACCGAGAATTATTCATGGCCAAGACCGGTTCTGCCCGAGGACCAAGTCCAGATTTCAGCAGGCTGGATACGAAGGAGGCGTGCCATGAAGGAGCCATGATCAACCGCTTCAGATTGCTCCGTATCCACTTAAACTTTATCGCGTTGCGTCTTACGGTGGTCCGTGGGCTAATCCACCCATCCCCATGGGGAGGACGGGTCGCGGGGTAGGATAGTGTGCCACGAGATGGGGCCGGACAACTTCTAACCTAACCGGTGCTATTTCAGAGAAGATAGAACAAGGAGGCGGTTACCGGGGCTGACATGCTGAGAACTGGCACGTTGCCGAAAAGGCATTCCTCCTCTCCAGACAAGGACGTATGTGGGGATAACCTGGAAAAACAAAAGATAATTCCCTCTTTCGGGCAGACGTAGGTACCTACTGGAGGTCTACTTCAAACCACAGTGGTGGAATTGTCCAATACTCATTTCTCAGTGGCTGTAATGACTGGCCAGAATTAATACCGAGACAGTCGGTGTATATCCTTGACGGTGATTTGGCTTGGGCCGAACGATTAATCGGTCCAATGCGAGGTCGTGCCACGGGCAGCTCTAAAACAATCTCGGAATCTGGACCGCAAGTTTGCGGTGTGCGACTTTTTGTCCTGGATAGTGTTTAAGAAAAGCATACCATCCGTAACAAGATTGACATTGCTCTCTGCCTAACTAACCTACAGATTAGCCGTCTCTTAGGTCAGCAGCCCTACCCCCTTCGGTGTACGATATTGCCACATAGTGGCGCTTAACTGGGAAGTTAATCGCTCGACTCTTTCCACCCTTCTGTTCGGCCTATTTGCTATCTATACATCCACAGCCAAAAGGGAAGGCTGCAAGAGATGCAGTAACTGTCGCCACCCATAGCTGTGTAAAGCCATCCAAGTATTTAGCATTAGCATTAGATACAGGGGCAATATGCAGAAAGCTAGCCAGACAGCGAGTTGGCATAGAATTCCACCAACTTGGGTAGCACGCCAGTAGGATCATCATAGAGAGCAATGTGCGATTTGTTGGGAACCAGGAACAACTCCTTCGGCTCGGTAGCCTTTCTGATTGCATTCTCGCTGTGGTACCGCGTATCCGCCTCCGAGCCAGCAATCATAAGAATCGGCCTCGGCGAAATCAAATAGTTGAAGGCGAAGGCATCGAAGTTTGCAAGAAGTTCCGTACTGCGAAGTGGGAATCGGTTTGTTGAACGACGGTGCCCGCCCCGGGGTGTACGGTAGTAATCGGCTGCCTCCTTATACAAGGTCGGAAAGGCCGCCGGCACGGTCTTGGGATCATCTGGAGCCCACGGCAGCAGCTGAGGGCTCTGGCCCTTGGCCTTTGACAGTCGAGCATTTGCTGCATTTTCGAGAGTAGCGGCCAACGCATGGGAGGGTGACTCGGCTGCGGTATTTTTCACGCCCTCCCGAATCATAGCTCCCAAGTCCACAGTGCTCACACCGGCGATGGCCTTGATGCGGACATCTGTTTGAGCTGCGAAAGATGCATAGCCGCCGGATGCACATAAGCCCAAGACACCGATGCGATCGGGGTCAACTTCGTCCAGGAGCGATAGATGGGTGACTGCAGCCTTGATATCCTCCACTCGTTGTGATGGATCTTCGAGTCCGCGCGGCTCGCCGGAGCTTTCACCCTGATACCCAGCGTCAAACGCAAGAGTAACAAACCCCTGGTTGGCGAGCAAGCGAGCATACAGGCCCGCAGTTTGCTCTTTGACGCCACCACCAGGATGGCTGACGACTATGGCTGCATGCTTTCGGTTGGGGGCGGACGGTGCGGGGATGAGCAGGTTGCCCACGATGTTGAGGTGGCGGCTTTGGAAGGACGCCGTACGTTCTGTAGTCATGATAAGAGACAAGAGACAGTGATGAACCGGCTTCCGTATAATTTTATTTCGACAACTACTTGGCTGTGGGAGGATGCATGATGAAGAATAAGTGCCTTACATATACAGAGATCGACGGAGATAAGTTGATGACCCGTATCCCCACTATTATGTCCGGCTTATCTCTTCCAGGTCATCACAGGTTCAGCAGGGGCCGAATATCGAAATTATGCTAGGCCTGCAATTAGGCATGCGGGATTTACACCTTCCGAAAATTTTCGGGATTTCGGCTTCGGGAACCAGACGACCAGTATGAGGTTGGACTTGTGAATGACATCAAAGACATACCACATTCAAAATCTTCACTGCCTCTCTTGCAATGTAGCTCACTGGTCACAACCACTCATTCACCTGCGTCTCTTAACCACGGCACAAGGGAACCATTATCCCAGGTGCCAATTCCTACAATGACGGCTCGGCCTAAGCCACCCTGACTGCAGGCAATCCGACAACTGAAGAAGACGCGGAAGAGTGGACCTCCAGCTGTGACTCCAGTCATAGTGGCTCCCAGAGGTCAATCCATTTGAGCAATAGCAGATTGGGATCGCCTTGTGTAAACACGCCATCCCGCAATTAACCCAGGATGACCGATGTATACTGGGAGTTCGTACGAGGGAACTCAATGAACAACACGGACTAATAAACTTATCGTTAGACGGCTGTGCAGCACTCCATCCTTCCCAATCGCAAGTCCCACAACTGGAAATTTAGCCTTCAGTTAGAGCGTTGGGACTTTTCTCCTAAATCAGTTTCTTAGGATACTTGCCGGTTCCCATGGTGCACTACGTCGATTGAGGTTGGGATATCACTGAACATGAGTATACTTATCCTGCATGAGAATACGAAACATGTGACGTGAAAACAAGAGTTGGCATAATACCATAATTTTGTTCAATTGCTTAATGTCAAGAGAAATCGAAAAAAGGCAACTCTCTAAGAATAATCTTGTAGAGCCAGGGTCTGCCATTCGCTCATAGAAATCAGCGCACTGGCCTGCATACTCTTTATCTTAATGTATATTGAGACAGTACACGTACGTGACATGCCAAGTTGCATGCGGACACATGAGTTATGGCCGAGAAAGGAAAAAAACAAGTGTCATCATGGTCAGGACTATGAAATACATATTCAAACATAATCGTACAAAGCTTGTTCGGGAAATGTAATGTTAGGCGCCTGTGGGAATATATCCCAGTCCGTGGACCGGTCAGGGTGGCTTATTCCGGACAAAATATGGACTGATGGCGCTGGCGGCTGCAAAGTGGGCTGATAGGCGTCGAAGCTACCATTGTTCTGAGGAAGGACAATGCGAGCTTCGGAGTGACTCTGGTGTTTTACCGAAGCATCCACAACCTTTGGAAGGCGCTTCCATGACGAGGGATTAAACAGCGGTTTGATCGCTGGAGAATTGACTGCAACAAAGGCCACGAACTTTGCGAATACGTTAGTATCAGAGATCTGTAGTGGCTTGAGCAACATACTATTTCCCTCACAGTCCAGACCGCGGTTAAGTTGATTTGTGAGATCTCAAGGAGAGACATGACGCATCTCAGCAACGCGGCGACAATGATGAATACGCCGGAGCACAGTAGAATTCCTACGATGATTTTCCTGTTTGGCGGAATCACCATTAGTGGATATTTCTCGTAGCGGACTGTCTTACGTACTGATAGAACTTGATCCGCAGATGAATGAGAACCGGAATCGGAATGTAGACGAGAAGCATATCGGTGCTTTAGCTCTGTCAGCATTGTTGGGATAGGCGGACAAGGTGTGCAAGAGCTTACGTGACGTTTAACACTGCCACAATAATGTAGAGTGTGTAATAAGACGAACATTCAACTGCAAGTTCAGTGACTGTCAGTCTTCAGTTGAATATATGAGACAGGAAACGGGGTCAGAGGACACGTACGGCCTGGATCGCGGTAAATCTGCCACAATTTCTCAAAGGGTCGACAGCGAAGAAAGATTGCCAGGACAACTGCAATAAAGCTTAGACCACAATAGACCCCCGTGACTCGAATGATCGTTTGCTGCGCGACACCGCACCTGCGGGTTTCAGCAAGTAGAACGCGTCAGGGTAAGCAGACCGGGGCTTTGTAATCGTACATGATGCGGTTGTAGTAGATTAAGACAGCCCCTTTCAGTGACCACAGAGCTCCGGCGTAGGCAAACCAGCCAGCAATAACCAGTTTGGCTGTAATTTGCATCTGACCTATCTCCTCGTGGCTAAATGTTGCGCGTTGTTCTGGCGTCCACCCGATGTTACTGTTGAGGGTTTGCCCTGTTCAACCGCGAAGGAAAGCGTTAGTCGAAGATGATATGTAAGCGAGCTTTTCGAGGCCGAACAGGAGTGATGTCCGTACCAACGAGGAATATAGGGATCATTAGGTACTGTCGAAATTAGTCCGTGTCAGCTGTGCTCAATGGAGTAGTACGCACAGTGACGAATAGCGCTGCGAGAATGCAAAGATAATCGTCTATCCCCCACCCCCGGAAGCCTACGAGGTGCCATCTTGAGATTAGTCGCAAAATAAGGACAAAAATCGCGAGGCTAAATTCAATGGCTGCCTCGGTAATGAAGGGGGATTTCGTAACCATTTCCGGCTAGGTGAGAGCACTAGGAAAGTAACAGTAAGCTGCCATCTCCAGGAGCCGAGATGTAGCTAGGAGTAAACAGGGTCGACGACGATTCTAATTCTTCAACCGCGAAGATTCATGATCGAGGAGGCCGATATATTAGTCGGAGACGAGCCTTTTGAAACTGAAGATTTAGACTCCGTCCACTTTCGGGGCAGTGGCAAGTTTCAATCCGTGGGTGTAGGCTGTTCACAGTCGCTGGGCCTCTTTCGCATGCCAACAGAACTGGTGCTGAGGTTCCTTGGTACAGAATCGGATTGAACAGACATGCACAGGCGGGAGTGACGACCTCCGCTGTAGCTCGGAGTTTCCGGTTGTAGGCGGAAATCCACCGATAAACCAGGCTCTCAGACCATGTCACATTATTTGGGGCCTATATTTTTGTTGACCATACCCATTTGTTGCCGGTAAACAGTAAAATAA